ATACTATTCCACTGGTTAGCCACGAAAGTGGAAACTTTTTGTGGCTATCTAGAACGGTCAGCTTGCCCGTGTTGAAAACAACACCGTCCGCAGAGAGATGGGGACTTGGAGGAGCGATCAATGGACGTTGAACAAAGCATGGTGCAGTAGCCAATGTTTGATGATGACATTGTATTACGTTTAGTGGTGGAAGAGCATTTAAGGTCGCTGATTTGAACTCCAAAAGTGGCTTACGCAACAATGAGTGATATGCCGTTAGCATTTCAGTATTGCGACAACCGACTTTCGAATCCGACTGCGCTGAGTATAGTTGGATTAAAAGGCACGCGATAAGACTCAATACTTAAGAGCCGTAGAAATGTTTTTTAAAGAAAGGAATAGGGGAGTTCCACGACACGCCTTTATGTATGATCGTGCTTCCGCTCGTACGTGTGCGTGCATTTACACATACAACCTTTGAGGGAAGCTCTAAGACTTCGCTCCACCGGCTTCGTCAATGCGAAAGTTGATTAGTACAAGACCTTCCAATACAACGCTTGCAGTATCACGCCATGTATAGGTTCAGTGGAATTTAACACGGCGCGTTTACGAAACTTGTGCCGACGAACGAAGAACACTGACCATGCACCACGAGGGACGCCGTGGCAACTGTCCGTTCCGCCCGATTTCGAAACGTGTAGTAGTTGCCCACATGTGTTCTGCGAATTTTATGAGATGCATTACCAACCTAACACCCCACGATGCCATCTCGGCAAAGTTCTTGACCCGTTCTTGCTCTCCTGTTGTCATTGTGAGCAATTTTATGCATACGAATGAGAAGAGCAAAAAAAAAACGGAATAAAAATAATTGGTCCCCTTTTCATAGCCTATTAATAACTTGTATCATGATTCGGGAAGGAGAGCGTAAAAATGATAAAAACCGACCTGGCTACGCACATTTTAATGGACGAAATTAACTCCTTTGGCAGAATAGAGTCAATTTACAGTAATTGACTCATTTCCGAGAACGGAACCTAATTTCGTGTGATTGGTCTTTCTCAGACAAACAAGTCAGTTAGCTGGAAAGTGTGAACTATTTGGCGCTCTTCGCCAAATAGTGAGCTTACATGGTGCTAAGGCTTCTGTACAGACTCATACATTGAATCGGGAACTATGCGACCATCGCCGAATTCGAAACTGGGGGGGATGGAGGGAGGGGGGTGTCCGTGGTTTTCTAATTGGTCCGCCGCGCACCAGTAGACGATATCGTGTACCTCCTATCTTCTAGGATAATTTGCAAACCAGCGACGCCAGGTTTGCAAGCCCCCCCCCCCCCCCCCCCGCCCATCACTACTCCCAAAAGACATGGCATGCGTGACGTCAACGCCACTGCGCGTGCGCAGACTAGTCTCATGAAAAAAAAAAGCCCATTACCCTGCATTGCCTGCATTTAAGAATTTTGGCTAATTTATTCGCTCTGATTTAGGCTGTTGTGATCAACGACCTATTTTGGGCTGGAGTTTACCGTTCACGATTAGGGGAGCCGTGAAGCTGTCCTCTCCGACCCTGTTGGACGCGGCGCAGGTGTAGTTACCGACGACGGCAGCCGTCACTTCGGGGATTGTCAGAGAAACTATGCTTTCGGTATGCTTAGTGATCTTGGTCCTTTTGTCTGCGCTCGCCAGTGGCAGGCCGTCCTTGAACCACCTGATGGTCATGGGTTCGTCTCCCTCGACGACGACGCACGACACGACCACCTTCTTGCCCGCGAGCTGGTCTCTGGGAAAGTAGAACGCTTGAACCTTGGGCGCATCTGAAAGAATGTGTGCTTGGAAGGCAAGTCTTCTAAACAGCTAATGGTACTATAATTTAACAGTCTCCGCATCACATTTAGTTGTCCAGTGTTACATGCCACCGATAGCACTGATTGCTTGCATGTGCATTTCACGCATATGTTGGGCGAGGGTTCGACTCTCACCGGCGGCTGTCTTGTCCGTTACTTCAAATCATACGTTTCCAGCTTCGACAAGAAAATAAATAAATTTTCATCGTATTTTCTTGGCTCCGTTCGTTTTTGAAGTTAATTTTGATGCATTCATTCCATGCATGCACAATGAAGAAGTATATATCGACGATGTCGCAGTATGCTTACCGCTGCAGTGGCTGCTGCTCACGAGGAAAAGAGCGGCGAAGGTGATGTGGAGCACACATGAAGGCATCCTGTCAGGGTGGGCGCTCCAAGCGAAGTTTCGATGACGAGGAAACTATTGCTGGCTTCGCCTCAAACGACGAGACTTCCAGGCCAATCGAGTTATCTGAGCTCGTACTCTGAGCCCGTGTGCGAGGCGCAGTGAGGGATGTATCCATGCGATGATGGAAAGCTCCCTTTCGTCGATTTTATACGCTCGTATGCGGACGGCTAGCGCCACATCGCGGCGATGCTTCCGAAAGAGTCTGGGTAGTTGCATAGTGACGCTCTATGCGCCGCCTCAGAATGGGTTGTGAACTGTGACGAATTTAGCGGGCCTACTTGGCCCGGTCATTACGAACTTTTGTTTCTAGCGTCAGCGAATTTTTTCCTGCTAGATTACAGCCACTAAACCGGATTTCGTTTTTATAATTTGTGACAACATTGTTGCGCGTTCTTTTGTTCCGTCTTCTGGTGTGTTGTCATATATAGGCAGAGGCGGTTTCATTTCCTCTTGTTTTTGTTGCCGTTCATATTTTCATTCTAGAGAATTGTGCGTTATCTCTTACTGCTGTTTGTCTATGCCGATTGGAAGCTATGCTAGTCAAGCATCTCCGACACCTTAACTGTGAACTAAAAAAGTGCTACACTGTTGCACGTACGGACTAGCCCTTGCAGACACTGCCGTCAGTCTCAGTCGTCGCTTGAGTCACTAAAATTACTGTGAATGCGCTAGAAATCTCGTGACGTTAGCGGTAATGTCACTCCAGTGGTCCCAGTCTATGATTTGCGTTTCCGTTATACAACAAGTGCGTAAAAGCCATATCACTGCATTTGGAAGCAGTTGCAGATTGGTGTTCTCTAAGGACTGGTAGCCTGTGCAGTCTGGCTAACTTGCGAATCGAAAAACAATAACAAAGTGTACAGCCAGGCCACCCGAGTTTTTCAGTGGTACTCCTCACCTGTGACGATCAACTCGGCGGTGAAGCTGTCGAAGCCGCCGGCATTGGATGCGCGACAGGTGTAGTTGCCGATGTCCTCGGCGCGGACGTTCGTCACGGTGAGGGTCGAGATGGTGTCAGTAAGAAGCCTGGTCGCTACGCGCTTGTCCTTGTGCGCCAAAGGCAGGCCATCCTTTGACCAGGAAAACTCTAGCGGTGGGCTTCCCCGCACGGAGATGCAGGAGACGACGATCGTCTGCAGAAGCTGATTTTCCTTCGGAAAGTAAAAAGGCTGCAGCTTCGGAGCGTCTTCGGAATTCCGGTGGGAACAGGGATTGCGGAAACGAAATCGAATTGCCGATGAGCCGTTGAGAATTGCCAATAAGGATGAAAGAGAGTGTTGCCACAGTGGCTTTTACCTTGAGGCGTGGCAGCTGGCGAGGCAAGATGAGTGAATAGACAGACGCCGCAAATGAAGATTGTCAGTGTCGACCACATCTTAGCAAAGTGCATGCGCCGTTCTGCGAGATCGTACCCAGTGTCAGCGAAAACCACGACATAGTATTGCCGACTCACGCACAACGAATGGACAACTAGCGCCGCGTAGAGACCAAAACGAGAACGACCTAATAAGAAAGGCGCTCCTTTCAACTTCGATTAAGACGACATCCGCTGAATTCGCAATATGCAAATATGCAACGGTGTACGCTATAAGCAGTCTGAGGTGCACGAGCAACGATATTGGAATAACGAAATTGCTGAGTTGGACTGTACGAATATAGCAGACTATAAACGGCTCAGGAATATCGAATGTGTCTGAATTTCAAGCGAAACGGAATAGACTTCTCAATTTTATATGATCATGAAATACAAGTTTATGTGGAACAAGTTTGACGAAAGTTCCATCTACTAAGGGGATTGTATAGTCTTGCATCCATTATACATGAATATACACCAAATGTGGTCTCCCATATCCTATAAGGTCGTTGAATACAGATTCGATTCTAATGGCGAAATGCGAATTGAACGTGGATATGAAGATCTATTCGAGTCATAAACTCTAATGTTTCGAACTTTCCCATACATATGATGACATTTGCCTTTAGGCAGAATTTCACCTTTCAGCTTTTTGCTTTCGTCTGTCAGGCGGATGTGCGCACTCGTCTGTATAGTTTTCTCGAATCGGGTAGGCACTGCGACAGCAGAGTATCAAGTGTTCCTTGAAAGATCAGGCCACCCTGACGCGTACTTGAGTGTTTACGTAAATACGTACTTACGCATTTGCGCGTGTTTACGTAAATACGTACTTACGCAATTACCTTATGCTCAATGCTAACGCTTTCTATGGGTTTCACTCATCACCATCTTCATCCTATTACGTCTCCACTGCCAGACAAACGGCATCTCCAAATTATCGCCGATATGTCATTTATTGCGTGACCCGGTTCCATGAAATTCTAGTCAATTGCTTAATTTAATCGTCCTAGCTAACTAACCTTTTGCCGTTTTCGGCTGCGTTTGTCATATCATGATATGCATATTGTCGCCCATCTCCACGTTTTTTTTCCCGAAATTTCAATAGCAACTAGAATATCAGTTACAGCTGTTGGTTTCTTGATAAACTGTCGTGCGATCTCTTGGTGTTACACCTATCATTTATTACGTAGCTGCGTCGTCTTTTTCATTCTTGAGTTTTTCATATAGTTTTAGCCCCATATGTTGGTAACGGCACTGTGCAATGGTTGTGTAAGCTTTTCACTTTGGGGACAGCGCTATGCTGCATGTCGAGATTTGCGAACGCTTTTCTAACGCACTCTAACCCATCTGTACTCTCGGTGAATATCGTCGAGTCTACGGCACGTACTGTAATTTGCGTAGAACAGCTTGGCTCTTCAGAACTGACCCCGCACGAGGAGGGAGGCGGTGAAAGTGTCCGTTCCAGCGGCGTTGGTCACTCGGCACGTGTAGTTCCCGATGTCCTGCGCCGTCACTTCCGGAATGGTCAACGAAGAGAGGTGCGAAGAGAGGGTGTCGACGGTGTACCTCTTCCGCTCGCCTTCCGCTCCGCCGTCCCTCGACCACGAGAACCGGAGCGGAGCGTCTCCTTCGACGGCCACGCAGGACACAACGACTTTCTTTTGAGAAGTGGGCTTCGCGGGAATGAGAATGGCTGCAGCTTCGGTGGCTCTGCGTTGCGAGCAGTCTCAGTGCAGTTATACGATCTAGTGACGATGTTAAATGGACGGAAGAAAAAAAAAAACTAGTTTTGGTGGACTACTGACATGATTATGCGACTGTTCATTTTCAGAGATCAATGAAAGCCCGTGCCATGGAAACCGTAGGATTATTACTATTAAACCTTAGAGCGTCCGGAGTAATTTAATAGCACTTTTCGAAAGCAAGTTTCGGTTTCATGTTCCGGGGTGAATCTGCGTCACGACGTACGTCATCGTGCTTAAAGTGGTCACGTGGTGACAGCACGTTACAGTCTCACGGCATTCGTAACTGCGCGCCCAGTCGTCTGGTACCTTGCTGCGCATGTGTTCACACTTAGCGGCAACACTAGAGGTGTTTGAATGACCGGAGTGAGTGTTAGAAACACCGCAACATGCTGTTTCCGCGTTACCACCTTCTGTGCGATGTCACGACACCGCAGGCATTCAAGAGTAGAAAAGATGTATTATTCAGGGTGCTCTGAGGTTTATATGCTCACTGAGGTCTTATAGTTAAAGGATTTCATATAACGGAAAAAAAATGAACCGTGACAAACATCGTGCCAGTACTCCATCAAAAGTAGTCCTTAAGCAATTCCTTCTCGCCGTACTGAAATAGAGAACAGAGGCTCACCTATCGTTGACGCAGACATTTCGGCGAGCATACATCCGCACAGAAGAGCTAGATGGACAGCGCCTCCGGCACCCATACCGCCCTTTCGCTACGTGGCGTTGTCGAAGTGCCACGAAACTCCAAGAACAGACTCTTGAGGACCTCTACTCTTCACTTGCAACGTATGCGAAGTGCGAACAAAGGAGCAGCGACCAAGCCACCAAAGCCTGAGGATGAATGCCCTCGGAGTAGCCGCTAGGAACTACGTCTTCATTGGCCGTTTCGGACAACTAGCGCCACATCGTGATCATGCGCCGAAATACACAGGAAGAGACGCGCGAATTCGATTTCAGATATGAGACTCGGGGTCGAAAAATGTCGTTTGAACGCTTAGCTCAGTTTCTATATGTTAGAGTATGCCTTTAACTCGCCACGTAGGTCAAGTGGTTTGGTGCTCAGCTGCTGATTGGAAGGTCGCGGCACCGAATCCCGCCCGTGGCGTTTGCATTTCGATTGAGGCGAATACGCTCGAAGCCCGCGTACTTAGACTTTGGTGCACGTTAAAGCACACCAGATTGTCAAAATTTTCGGAGCCCTTCACTGTGGCCTCCCTCATATTGGTAACGTGGTTTGGCCACGTATGAACAATATGCATGAGCGATATGCGTTTAACGTTCGTCGCCTCTGATTTGGCACTAGTGTTCCATTTTGCTGAAGAACGCACCAATGAAAAGGAAAATAATGTCCAGGTACTTTCAAGCAGGCCACTTCGTAACTGCTTCTTTGTGACTTGTGATTTTAGATGTAAAGAGGACCACTGTGAGAGAATCAAGTTAAGTGGAGAAATAGATGTTAGAAGTCAATGTATTTCACAGAGACCACGAGCAAATGAATCAGCCGTGGAAGAAGCAAGTGATTGCGCTGTAGTCGCCTGTGTAACAAATGGAATCTCCAGTGAATTTGTTCCAACGACCGCTAGTAACTCTGCGGTACCACTGAACACATTCGCATAAAAGTGGCGCCTGTGGTGCGAATATTTTCGCACCACAGGCGTTATAGTGGCTACTGTTATAGTGGCTACTGTTAAAGCCTGAAATGCGGAGCACTAACCAGTGACGACCAGTTCGGCCGTGTAGCTGTCGCTTCCGGCGGCGTTGGTGGCGCGGCACGTGTAGTTCGCGATGTCGTCCGCGTCCACGCTGGACATCGTGAGCGCAGAGATGGATTCCGTGAGCATCTTGGGCGCGGCCTTGCTGCCGGCCATCACGGGAGAGCCGTTCTTGAGCCACGCGAAGGCGAGCGGCCGCGACTCGCGACGCACGTGGCGGCCACGGCGTCGCCGATGCGGTGTTCCCTGGGAAAGCTGAACGGCAGAACTTTGGGAGGCTCTAGACAAGATAGATAAAGGTGCTCTAGTACAAGCATTCGGTATGTGATAGAACTGCAAAAGAAGTATCGCTGAACAGCAACACAGGAAGTTCCTCGTACCTGTGCCGCCGGCGTTGATGAAGAAAGTCGCCAGTAAAGCGAGCGAAATGACCAACTTCGGAATGAGGCACGACGAAGACTCCATGCAGGACGTGTACCGAGTCTGAGGTTGAACTGTGCGACCGGCAGTGGCGCGCGGACGATGCGTATGCGCCGCTTGGCGCAGTCGTCCCGAGACTAGTGGCGCCGCGTGTGAGATGCGCGGTGAATCGCCACGCCGTTGAAAGTGGTGGCGACCTCCCAAGGTACCGTTTGCGCCACCAGGAAACGCTACCAGCAAAATCAACGCCTTGTTTGCCTTCGCTGAAGACGTGGACGTTATGCCTATGACATGATACCCCAAATTGATTTAGTTAGGCCTCTCACATTCATTTTAAGTCCAGGCTTCGTACAATCGAAAACCAATTCAATGAATCAATTAGTCAATCGATGGTGCAGAAGCAGGCAGTTTCATTTAGGTTTCATTCTTTGGTTTCGTGTACCATATTTGGGTAGCGCTTAAAAAAACGTGCCTAGCTGTTGACCATGTATGGACGTAAAAACGAGGATGGGTCGATTCAACGAGTGTGTTTCTGCCAGCATTTAAGAATGTGTTCTAGAAATTCGGCCCTTGGAATGGCCCTTGGGAAGGCTTGAGTAAGCGACGTGGCTAAATTAAAAAAAAAAACTATTGCAAACAAGCTCGGATAGACCACCTGATGTCATGGATGAAACAACTGTGGCCCTGCGCGCGTTGAGAATGTAATGTTTACTTCCACGAACTGCTACAGGAAAAATGACATGGCAGAAAAGGTTTTCTAAGGTTGTCGTATTCCGTTACTTTTGTAGTATCAGTACGGTGATGCATCACACACTAAGCCGGCGTTCAACGCTACACGGCGTACATGCTTAATTCGGCAGGCGAACTATCATCTCAGTGTCAATGTTCTTAAGTAGAACGCCCCTATAGTGTACTGTTCTTCCAACTGGAAACGCTGACGGCATTTGCAGCTTATGCCCACAGTTGCATACTTAAACATTTCCTGGTAGATATGTTCTTATATCGAAACTAAAGCTTGTGGGAGTACTTCAGCAATGAACGCCGGTGCGAAAATGTTGAACCCTGATGTGCAACAATTTGTGTCTCCATGGGCATTCTTCATAACTGTACCGCATTACTGGCAACAGTAAAATAGCTAAGCGTGACGTTTACAAATGAACGATGCATTTAGTCTATACGTATGTACTATGAACAGCTAGCATTTACGGGGATCCAGAACACATGCGAATTTCCGCTATATTAGTGCGCAATGCTTGTAATCGATTGGTGGCTGTATAGGTCGGAATGCCAAGTGCAGTATGGAAGATTTATTTCGGAATTACGTTCCTAGACAAAGCGGGAATTCAGCTTTATTGAACATTTCGCGTCCCGCAAACTTTTGCTATTGATCGTGCGATACGCATATTTATCGAGTGCAGCCGGGCGCTTCGAGAAGAATGAATACTAGCATTCGTGACGTTGCTTACGTCAACCGAAAACCCCTGTAAACCGAAGTGCGAATGGTTCGGCATCTGTGGCTTTTCGCAGCTAAGTGTCTAAGTCGATGGTTCGACTCTCGGCGGCTGCTGTCGAAGTTCCAAGGAGGTGGAATGTCGAAATGGCGGCACAGCTGGAATCGGGCACACGTAAGAAACTTTAAAGTGGCGATGAAAATTTGTGCGGAACCCTTTTATACGGCGATTGTCATTTGACTCAAAGCACGCGTAGTGGACAAGTGGTACGCTCTGAATTAAGCGTTAAGTGTGATACACAAGCACGAAACTAGACTTCTGTCGCCTGGTTTCCGTGCCACAAACACATTATCGGGACCGGATTAAGTGCGTACGAACGAACGATTATTCTTCGTTCCATAGGCCAAGTGTAGCTCCGGCATCAGAAGCCCCAACAAAGAGGATCACCTTTTGGCCTTCCAGGAAAGCTACAATGCGGAGGTCAGGCTTGGCCTGCCAGTCCCAACGTGGGAGAGGCCCACTGCGCGCTAGTCGCGTCTCTGAGGAACTGTCGTTTTTGAGTTTGACCCGCCAAGGTACGAAGAACACTGACCGTGCACAAGGAGTGACGTCGTGGAACTGTCCGTTCCGGCCGCGTTGGAAACGTGGCACGTGTAGTTGCCCACGTCCTGCGCCGTCAATTCGGGGATCGTGAGCGACGAGATGTGCGAAGTGAGCACTGCCGTCGAGTACCTCTCCCCTTCGCGCTCGGTGAGGCCGTCCTTCGTCCACGCGAACTCCAATGGCGGGTCTCCCTCCATGGCAACGCAGGACAGCACGAGCTTCTTGTTGAGCGTCGGGTTTCTCGGGAACGTGAGTGGCTGCAGTTTCGGAGGTTCTGCAAATTGTACGTAGGCATGAATCGGCTCTGCGTAGCCTCGAATTCGGAAATGGATGTGGGGTAAGCTGCATGACCAACGCGTGACGAGTTCTTTTCGTGTATGCAGAAGAAAAAGAGGATACGAGCTCACCGATTATCCTCGCGGACGTTTCTGCGATGACGTTGTAGAAGAGGAGAGCGCACACCCAAAGGATGAAGTTGAGCATGGCTGAAGACCTCTCTTTTTCAGCGTGTTTTCGGCGTTTTCTGTTTCGAACGTAGCAAAAGCTAGCGCCAAACAGCAGCGCACCTAAATAGCGGAACTAAGCTCCTCTGAATGCAGGGATTGACGGCGTTTTGAAGGGGAAAGAAATGGGACAACGAAGTGTCATTTCTGCCTTTGAGACGGGTGGCGCCACACCGCGAACGTGTTGAGAATCAACCTACTGAATCCAAGGGTCGTGCACTTTTCAAAACAAGTGCACGGTCTCGCTGCGCAAACAATCAGTGGACTCCCAGAAAAAGTGAAGCCACAGCGCGTAAAAAGGTAGTGAGACAAGTTGTATCAGATCGTTGTATTACATCACCTTCATCATTACATCACCAGTGAATCGTCAGACGTTGACCTTGAAAAACTGGCACGTGGTGAAAAAAAAAAAAACTGACGTTACATTAGAGTATATTATGACTTGGATAAAAATTGGAGTTCGAGCCGGGATAGAGACCGATATATTCTGCGTGGCAGACTAGTGTTCTGCCAATGAGCCACGGCAGTGCTTCAAACTACTTTGAAAAAAAAAAAAAACAGTGCAGTCATGGCGAGCTCGGATCGAGTCACATTAACAGGTTGTGATATTTAGCGCGGATGACACGGATAATCTTACCGGGCGCCACAACAGGTGAACTGCGTAACGAGTGGGTAGTTGAAAGCTGCCAGTCCACTGATAAATAGGGCTGAGAAAACATCAATATTGTGTGCAATTACTCACACGACTTCTCAAGCTGCGATTATGATAGAACAACCACGCTTGATGGCTATCGTATTCGAATCGACATAGACGATTACTATCGACATATCATTGACATAGGCATTACCAGGGAGGCTGTTGCATCTCTCTCTCTCTTTCAGGCCCCCTCGGGTTACACGATATTTCTGGCGTCATCGAACAGAGCGCAGCTGACCTAGCATTCCAGTCGGCGCCGTAACACGAGTAGTTGGCACAGTATCGGGGAATCGAAACAATGCATGCATACAACGGTCAGCGCTGGTTGCGTTCACACTAACCAGCGACAACCAGTTCGGCAGTGTGGGTGTCACTTCCGGCGTCGTTCTCAACCCTACACGTGTAGTCGGCGATGTCGTAGGTTTCTACCGTGGGTATGGCCAGCGCCGAGATAGACTTGGACAGCGTCTTGGGAGTAGCCTTTCCGCGGGGGTCGATGGGTAGGCCGTTTTCGAGCCAAGTGAACAGCAGGGGGCGCGTGCCAAGTGACGGCCATGGCGGCTCCGGTCTGCTGCTCTTTGGGAAAGCTGAAGGACACTAGCTTTGGAACCTCTGTCGGCGAAGTGGAGAATACGCTGGCTGCAGTTCATCTATCGCAAAGCCCGCGGAATCTAAGCACAGCTTCGACCTTACTTATGGGAAACGCGTCTTTGGTATTCCAATCGTTATTAACTCAACATTGCTTCTATATTATTAGCGACTTATATATTACGTCTAAAGCTGCTGACACTAATATAAATAAATCTTTTTTTAAATTTGTAAGAATTGGATGTTTAATCAAATATTTTTCGAACAGTTCTTCAATACTCTGCTCTGGTTTTTACAATTAACACTAATTGGTGTTCACGTGCTAGCATGTCAGCTAATTTTAGGAAGGAATCAACTGGCGATTCAGTTCAGCTCTGTGGGTGTCTAAGCCTGCTCCATCAACTATGTAGGCTTTTATTTTATGTCCATTCTATGCCCACGCATATATATAATTTGTCGTTTGTTTACACCAACGCGGTGTTTCCTTGGGTGCCGTTCAAATGTGGAACACTCAACAACTCTTCCGTAATTTCGACATTTACGAATATTGGCTTTTCGTAAATATGGAATATTCGTATAAAATGGTATCAAGTCGGTATTCAAAATTTTCGAACATCAGAACAATTCGCGCTAAACCATCCGTGCGACTTTTGTGCTGAACGTCAGTCGCTATGAAATCTTGAAGTCTAAACAGGCGTTTCCCGTCAGTGTGGCGCACCCTTTACACCTACATGCGACATTACCCCTACCTGTGCCGACATGGGCGAAAAAAGTAGCGAAGATGGCGGTACAAGCGCTGAGCTTCCACATCGGTTGGTCTTCCTGGCCCTGACTGAAAATCCGCAGTCGTAATGCAGCGTCTATCCTTGCTCGTTGTTTGCAGTCTGTTGTATACGCCCGTGTACTCAGATTTCGGTGCACGTTAAAGAAGCCCAGGTGGTCGAAATTTCCGGAGCCCTCCACACCGGCGTCTCTCATAATCATATAGTGGTTTTGGGACGTTAAACTCCACAAATCAATCAATCGTTGTTTGCAGTCGCACTTCAAAAGCTGTCACAGTAGGTCGAGTGGCGCCGCGTAGGAGACACCAAGGGAAGCGCTTGAGCGGGATCGTCAGATCCGATTTGGCAACTTCAGTGGCGCTTGTTTGCACACGGGTGCCGCATCATTCCGTGGGTTTAGTGAATTCAGTGAAGCACTATCGTACCACGTGTGTGCTGTTATTGCTGTAACCACATTATAATATACAGTAGTCCACAAACTCCGTCTCGGTATGCTGCGAGAAGACAGTCTTCATGCGAAGCATGGTCAATGCACACGAAAATTTCAATCGAAAGAGAGTGTGCCCGGACTATCATTGGAAGAAAGCAACCTAGAATACTCAGAATAAGGAATTGCGGCTCAGGCGCCCGTGTTTGTGCTATTTCACGTTCGTGTATTGTTTGAAAAAGCGAGCCTTCGATCAATGATACTGAGCAAGCTGTCTTCCGAGCACGACCTCTAAGTGTGAGAGCACCAATCAGCTATCGGTTCTGTCTGCATGGAACGTTATTCGCTGTAATTTTCGCCAGATTTATACCACGAAACACGGACCATGTGCAGGTGAAAAGGGGGTCGATTTATCGGGAGCTGTTTCATTCGTTATGTGAAAAAGGATCGGTGTACACTGAGCTTTGGTGAACATTAAAGACTGGACAAAGTGACTACCAATTTACGCACATTGGTCGTGCTGGCACCTGAAGTTTTGAAGAAAATTTCGCAAGACAGCCACGAAAAAGATAATTTCCTGACGCTCTTCTGAGGCAGATAATCTCCGAAGAACCGAGATTACTTTTTGAAGGTTTCACATATTCTACTCGAACATCTTCGCGACACAAAGTTTTTTAGACGTTCGGTACAGGAATCATCAACAAGCTAAGAGATGAACACGTGAAGCATTTGTCGCTCTGGGTATTCTAGGTAACCCCATATGAGAGAAAGCACATAAACCAACGAGCCTTGGCTCCCAGACCCACGAGGTTTGGTAGTGGTACAGTACCAGTAACAAGTAAGCTCGGAGGTGGCGCTGTCGGAGCCCGCCGAGTTGGCCGCCACGCAGGTGTAGTTGCCGATGTCCTCGGCGCCTGCTCTGGAGATGGTGAGCGAAGAGACGGCCTCCGAGACCTGCTTCACTTGAACCCTGCCATGATCGCCGCCGAGTCTCGCGCCGTCTTTCAACCACGCAAATTCAAAAGGTTCGCGTCCTTCGATCACGACGCAGTGCACGACCACCTTTTTGGGCATGGCTTTGCTCGTGGGAAAGCTGAACGGCTGAATTCTGGGTGGTTCGACTGAAATACAAGGCGTGGAATATAGACTGGCGCGTTAGGCATCGGTATGGCCTGCCGAATAGGACCGCTTACCTGAGCACAGAACCGTTTGTAATGAGGCGCTGAGCACCACGAGCACGAATGCTAGAGCCATCTCGTGTGAGAAGGGATCGCAGTACTGAGCACCCCCACGGCGTGTTGCCTGTATGCAGTACGACTGGTAGTTCGGTGTACAAAGCGCGCAAACGAAGATTGAATCCGTGCATGGACAACTGGCGCCACACAGTGGAAAGTGGTGAAAGGTCATAGCGCGAGAGTTTGAACCAGCGTTTGAACAAACCTTTCATTCAAACAAGCCACCGTGAACGATTGGTGTATTACAAATGAGGAGCTTGTTGATTGATAGTTCATAACTGTAACGTCCTAAATATTAGATGGCGGGAGTGAGGGGTTAGTGGGTGGTGTCAATGCACCTGATCTTTGGGTATACATGAGCAGTAATGACTGTCCGCGCGCACCTACTACAGTGCGGTTACCGGAGGCGGTAATCGAACCGACGACTATACATTGCTAGAAGCGGAAATGCATAGCCACTGAAGTAACCTTGAGAGCTAACTAGAGAGAGAGAAAGGGAAATTTAAACGAGTTTGCTTGAAACTCTTGAACTCCCTAGTTCGAATGTAATTGAGGTACTTATGCCTAAAGAGATAAAGACAACAGCGAGGATGGATGAAACGAGCATACGTACTGACGCTTTCATCACTTTGTCGCGCGGTGTGTTGCCATTATTTGTACGGTCCCGCGTTTCATTTAATGTCGGACCTCAGAGGTAGGGGACTTGCGTGCAAATTCTGTGACACTCCTGTAGATGCCGCCCCACGATGAAACGAAACCAGGACCACCTCGCACGGAAACCGCTGTCATGCGCCTTTAAATTGAGAGGTATACAGTGATTTTTGCGTCGCCCGAAGATACGAAATCAAATTAGCGGGACTCGCGAAACCCCGCATCAAGCACATATGTAGACCAAATCCGAAAACATATGTAGTCCATTTCAGAAATGCAATGCTATTGTGCAGTACCAGAAGCAACTCCGCTCAAACGCTCGCCTGGTTATCCATAATGGAAGATGCGCTTCCCCGCATTGCGTCTTCTGTCCGCGATGATGCCGTTGACATGAAACATTGCAACGCGCCTGCTAATTACGCGAGACGGCTGCTGACTTACCACTATTACCTACGTTCTAATTCCCATTCAAAAGCTATGTGCCGTAAGCCATGCGAATGCTCTTCTTAATTGTTACGAAGCGCGTTTTACGCACGTACCGTTTACGACTAACGTGTCGTAAATTGGTCCGTTCCGGCGGCGTTGGAAACGCGGCAGGTGTAGTTGCCGAAGTCCGCCGCGGAAAGTTTCCGTACGGTCAGAGTGGACATCTTGCCGCCGATTTCCTCGATGTCCCCGGCGCGGTCGACTCGAGCGCCGTTCTTGAGCCACGAGAACTTGAGCGGTTGGTGTCCCCGCATCGCAAAGCACGACACGGTGACGTCCTTGCCCAACTGTTCGTCAATCGGAAATGCAAAAGGTTGGATTTTGGGGCGTCTGCAACGGACAGGTTAGCGAGTCAGTGACGATCGAAAAATACCAGAACACAGTCGTGCACACACGTACGAAGACAGAGCCGAGTGTCAGAGAACGCAAGCGCTCGTGTTGTCATCACCCGCGCTTGCCCTTGTTTCTGTTCGCTTGACAGTGTTCCGGCGTGCAAAATCAACTCGCCCCAAAGCCGGTGCTCTGAGAAAAGTACGCTCTAATACAAAGGGTGCATTTAGAGAGCCTTCACGTCCCGCATGACGACAATCTGGCTTGTTTTGCATTTCTATTCTTGAAAAAAAACTAACCGTTTCAACACTTCTTATTAAAAAACGCTGAGTCATGATTGTAACGTGCATGCCGTGCCAGACGCGAAAAATGCCAGGCGCACTGCGATGTAATGCCAGGGTAGGCAAGCGGGATGCCTTGTGGAACGCAAATACGCCCTAAGTACACCTCTCTTTTCAGAGTATAATTCACTGCCACAGGTATCTCATTTAAGATAGCACCCGTTGTCTTCAATGTAATTTTCAAAAGTAGTTGGACGACTGCAAATGTGGGCATCATTCACCTATGGCATGGATCGCATATATCGTTTTAGAAAAAACGACCGAGAGCCAAACTAAAGAGTGGACGACATGCCATGTCAGATATTCACTTCAGGAACATTCACTACTGGGCCCGTTACTCAACCACTGACAATCTCCACATGCGCACGGCTCGACGCAGCGGTCGTGTGGTTGAAGGCGAGAGAAAGCACTTTCAAAGTCACGCTGCTGTCTAACAGACAGGCAGCGCCATCTCGTAGAGGACACCGAAGGTGTAAGAAGTCGATGCTTTGACACTGAGGCCCAAATGGAGTGAATGCGTGGACACCGAGACACAAACAGCGAGGAATGAATGAATGGGAGGATTGAGTTTATAAAGGGAACATAAAACGAAATTTTATTTTTTTTCTCTTATTAGTGCATTGCCCTTTCGCGATGTGAAACACACTAGCGGCGACAAGGCGCTGAAAAAAAAACGCGCTGTAAGGAAATTACACACCTGTCGACGCCACCTCGAGAATTCAGGCACCAAACACCGTGAACGTCATGGATTTTGACGGCCTATACCGATCCTACGTAGTTGTTGATCGGCGAAAATGAATTGCATGTTTCTCTAAAGGGGCCAGGGGCTTAACGTACCTAGTTCAGAAACTTTCGGGAAGTCGCTGTGGCGAAACATTCATGCGCGATTCCCTTTAAAATTCGTGACGTCACGCTCACGTCTGTGGGCAGATTTCTTCAAAACATTTGATAAAAAAAATCTTCGATCCCAAATAAACGTAATAAAGTGCTAGAATAATTTACAAGTTTGAAGTGATTCGTTATTTCGCTTCAGCATCCATTTAAAGGGTTATTGAATAGAAAAAAAATTCCGATTCGGGCTCGACAAAAAAAAAAAAAGGGGGGGGGGGGCAAGATCACACGCGAATGAAATGCGGTCCGGTTCTTACCTGCTTTTAGAAGCGTAATTTTTTTACAGCTGTTCGCGTTACACGTTGGCTTTAACCAATGACTGCTTCGTCAATACTCATATGTATCATGTTCTTTTCTCAAGGCACGGGCGCGTAATTTTGTGAAACACATAAAGCACGGTTTATTCTAGTTTTTTATCAATAAAACAGGACCGCCTGTGACGTCTTGTAACGTCGTCCCTATCCGTGTACATTGAATAGTAGTGAATGAACACCTGTATAGCATATTAATTCACAAGTGACACAACTTAGACACTGCTCGTGGATTCCGTGCCGACCGGTTGTGCCCCCGCGATCTCCGACGACAGCGCAGCTCTGGCCGACCGCTCGCCGTCCGCCATCTCCTGACGCCCTGAAGCTCTCGCTGAGTGGAACCCTGTCCTCGGACTCCTTCGACTGGTGTCTTTCTTTCTCTATTTTCTCCTTACTTCTGTATGTGGTTGTCGTCGTCTCTATTATATCCCTTTTAGGCCTCTCTATTCTTTTTAATCCCTCCTTACCCCCATTCCTTGTGAGCTACTGTTTAGGTGTCGCACTATGATGCAGACAGCTACGGATCTCACTTTTATCTTCTTTTCTCTTTCGTAAGAATCACACCACATTTTGGCTTAAACTGAAGTCTGTGTCCTGCTTAGTTTGTAGTACGTTCCTATGCTATCCTACAATGCCAAGTAGCCAACCGGACTGTCAACCTTGTTACATGCCCCCCCCCCCCCCCCCCTCTCTTCCTTGGCGTCTCGTTCTCGCTCTCTCTACGTCGCAATATTACTTCTATATTCAAGCTGTCTGCATTAGTCGAAGTCACTATCATGCATTGTTTACATGCAAATGAATATGAATATGCACAGACTATCCCAAGATATAAAATTAGCATTTCATATTTATGCTACGTGAAATTGCATACTGCAAGATTGCTCGACCACAGCAACCCTGGGAGCACCTTGATAGAGGCAACTTTGTCGTGTGGGCTCTTTTACGACGCAAGGAGCGAATTTCGACGCTCCAGTGAAGGCGAAGTTGTGATGGCGTTTTCATTATCATGTGAATTGTACAGAAAATTAATAAGCGTAATATGCACAACACTTCGTATCCATCTTCACAAAACGGTAACTTGCAGGTCCTTTCTGTTATTAAACGGTATAATCACAATGCTGCTTCCACTTTTCTTGTACTTCTATACCTGGCATTTTGAGACGTCATTCGAAGCCCGTGCGTCGGCACTTCGTCGATGTATAACGAAAGATCCCCTGCGGGCCTGCTGTGGACATTGGGCACATGCCAAGAAATTCTGTGTAAAATGGACGAGTGGCCAAACTCGATATTCATCGTATACGACCCATCATACCATTTGGCTCAAACCAAGATTCTATTTCTGCACTGACCAGTGACGACGAGCTCGGCTGTGTAGCTGTCGCTTCCCGCCGAGTTGCTGGCCCGGCAGCTGTAGTTAGCCACGTCCTCCGCGCCCACGTCGCGGATGCTAAGTGCCGACACGGACTCCGTGAACATCTTCGGCGTCGCCTTGTCTCCCTCCTTCAGGGCGACGCCGTTCTTCAACCACGTAAACTGCATCGGCTGAGTGCCTCTGTTGGCGACGCACGTGACCAGAAGTGTCTCTCCCAGCACGCTTTCCCGAGGAAACACGAATGGCTGCACCTTGGGCGCGTCTGCATGGACGACGAGCCGAACCCGGTGACGTCAGCGCCTAGATGACATAGACTTGGCGCGGGGAATGTGAAAATGGCAGCACTGCCCCTCCTACCTTTGCTGCAGCTTATACCGCGCATGAGCGCCAAGAGACCGAAGATGAGCGTGAACATCGCCCCGGAGTGAATATGCAATGACGGCGCAGTTTCGCACGAGACGCTCCTTGGAAAACGATGCAGTCCTCAGGGTACTGCGCAGAGCGAGCGCAGGAGTAAATGGTGCTTTTGCAGGGCGTGCTCTTCATATCATTCCTCTTGTAGCGCATTTCTCGAACCAGTAGCGCCACATATGAATCGTTCAAGTAACTAGCGCAGCGGTTCGTGCGAGAACGCCGTTTGAATGCAAAAAATCACCTACTCTTTGTATCGCATTCACAATTCTACTTGTTAACCAAGCCGTGATGATAGAACAGCCTCTATTACGATTATTAGTTATGCGACACGAGCTGCCGTGACCTCGTGACTTCAGCGTTCTTAAATGCAGCCGCAAGCAGTGCATCACGTGATGGGGCTTCAAGTGACGTAACTCACTTTTGCTTGCTCAGTTTCTCCTACATCGGACTCCTTTTTGTGTTACGAGTCACTCGAAGCACAGGAAATCGACCCAAGTTGGTAAGGTGCGTCGGTGTTGCAGCTAACTGATAGAGATTACAGAAGTTTTGTTCGTCCGCACAATCCTTACTGTTTGCATTTATATGAATAACCGACGCCGTTGACGGCGGTGCGACGACAACTAGCGACATGTTGCAGCGTTTTGCCCAAATAAAATAACTTCGCAAAATTTTTCGGTCGCTTAGTGTTTCAGTGAAAACGTACTATTGTAAGTACTGTGAGTAGTTAATTGTGACAATGCTTTACACAAGCTGCTGAGCTCCTTGTGTGTGCCTGCTTAGGTTGTGCATCACAAGATGTCCCAACCAGCTTTGCACGTAAGGTACACTTCTACGGTAACGCGTAAAAATGTAAACGGTAATAAGTCTGCGGACAAACTAATTTTTTTTTAACGACAGGTTCAAGTGGATATACGTCGACCTTACCCGTTATGACGAGGCTTGCGGTGGTTCTGTCGCTTCCCCCTTCGTTCGCGGCTTCGCAGGTGTAGTTGCCGATGTCGGCCGCTGCGACTTCGTGAATGGTCAGTGTAGACATCTTGTCTATGGGCTGCCTCACGGAAAACTTTGATCCGCTCGGAATTCGCGCTCCGTCTTTGCGCCACGTGAACAAAAGCGGCGGGTGGCCTTCCGAAGCAAAGCAAGAGACGGTGACGTCTTTCCCGATGGCGTGGTTCTTTGGAAAGAAGAAAGGCTGTATCTTGGGGACCTCTGGAAAACGTTGCAATTCAAAGGAGTATATGTGCTGAAGGATAGCTGTTCACAAGCATCGGGCTACCAGCACGCATGCTTAAGACTGTAACAAGATCGTGCAGGTACAACAACTCACCTACTGCAGAGCTCGTAACCACAATAACGCCGAGTACAGCCACAGACAGGAGGCCTAAGGTGGTCTGCGCCATCGTGATGGCGAAGTGTCAAGTTTCCGAAATTGGAAGGCACTCGGATTAGATACGTGCAGACAGAGGTCCAGCCATGGTGACTGCATCCTGCACTGCGTGCGCCGATTGCTGAATGAGTTCGGCTGCAGCGATGGCATTCGAGAACAAATTTTCCCCTCAGTGGTCTACTAGCGCCTCCTGACGGTTGGATGAGACACTATCGAACGCGCCAAGAATTTAAAAGTATGTATGCTTGGCGCAAAAGAGTGCACTGGGTTGTTGATTGATACTGCGTTTCAAGGTGAACCTCCGAATCGCAGTTTTGTTGCTGTCATTTTCGTCGTATAAAGCGTTCGCTTTCATTAGAGGCCATTTCGATGTGGCAGTCGCGTCATTGTTGAATAGACAATGATTATGTGCCATCTGTCATATTTTGGAGTTGTTGAAACTGCTATAGCGAAGTGTTTGCAGCAAAAGTACAGATCGGTTCAACACCTTACATCAACATAAACGGTGTGGTCGTGGCGTGTTCGTATTTTTCTAGGGAATAAATGCAACAAGGACTAAGATATGCTCGTGGCAGAATTTTCCTTATACAAGCAACATCGTTTGTTATACATCACAACGCCATCATAGTGCGAATCGAAACACGGAATGTTTATGTCGCAGAATCAAGAAACGATAAACGAAAAAAAAAATGAAAGAGAAATAATAATATAGCCAAACGTTTTATATTCAGTTCGCTGTGCGATTCCAGCCGGACTGGAAGTTTCCTTAGACGATTTCCCACCATACGGTTCGACGATGCGTCGTTGTTACTTGTATCCACAGCAGGACGAAAACCGCTCCACGTGAACTTCAGTTACTAGATTCTCGTTGTAGCTAATGCAGGGTTATGCCAGCGAATTTTCTTATTTCGTCGCGTGAATATGCATAAACTGAGGGCAAAGAATCAAAGGGATAACTTGATTCGGGATTAAGTTATGGCACATGCCTTGTCGCGGCTGCGTGCAAGTTTTGTGCGCGTGCGCAGCTAAACGGTGGCAGCGCTATGCGACGACGACGCCGTCCTCTACTGACCTGTGAGCACGAGTTCCGCAGTCAAGCTGTCTGTGCCGTAACGATTGGTGGCTTGGCAGGTGTAGTTTCCCACGTCCTCTGACGTCACATCCAGTAGCGTCAAGATGCTGACCGTTTCGCTGAATGCCTTGGTCTGAGCCTTGGTATCCGAAACCACTCGCTGCCCGTTCTTAAACCACGCGAAACTGATCGGCTCCGTTCCCACGTGGGCGTTGCAGGAAATCACGATCTTGGAATTGGCGCGAGGGTCTTTCGGAAAGGCGAACGGTTGAATCTGAGGCGCCTCTGTAAGGATGCGGGCATCAGAATATATGTAATACTGACTGAATGTGGAAACGGGGGGTGCTCACCGGCGTTGGCGACAAGTACCAGCGTGATTAGGAGAGCGCACAGCCGGATGAAGCTCGACGCCGGAGCACGAGGCATGCTTGCAAAGTTTGAGGTGTGTAGGCCTGGTATGCAAGTGGAGGCGCGCGACACTTGCCGCAGTCAACCGTGCAGTAGCTCAACCAAAAGGGGGAGAGATTCCACTGCATAGTTCCGGAGAGAAACTTGGAAGACGTGGACAGCTAGCGCCACAACGCGAGCACATACGGAAACGAAGAGGAGAAAAGCCCGCGCGAGCTGGTCTTGTGTCACTTAGCAGAAACGTTCTTGTCATTAGCCAGAAACACGTCCGTAAATGGTAGCATGCCTCGCTGTGTCGCACCACTGATATGTGAAAGATTTGTGCAACTTTCACGAACGTAAAAAAAAAAAATCGCCTTTAAAAGTACATCAGTTTATAAAAGCAAACTGGTATACCTAATTTGGCATACAAGCCTGCCATTTTCACGTTAGCACACAAAAAATCAAGATTCAGAGTGCAAATGATCAACATTAACTCGGTCATTCAATAATCCTTCGAAATATTTTCTTGGATAATACTTACACGGCATTTTATTATTCCCTCCTCATTCGATACCATATTCTTAATTATGGAAGATTAGTTATAACAGGTAGTCATAGCGTTGTCCGTGCGTTAAATTTCATTCATGACGGCTCAGAATGCGGCATAAACATCCCCCATGATATTATGTTGCAACGTAAAGTTAGATTGTATACTGTATGTGTTCACTGCAAAACGACGATCACGGCAAAGGCAGTATAGTAGGCATGTGCATATATGCACGGCACCTAATATTCGAATGACGGAGTGAAGCGGTTCCACATATACGGTATTTACAAAACGTTCTATACGAGTACAACTTGAAGTTTGAACAGTACCGGTTATAAGAAGCTGAGAGGTCGCGGCGTCCGAGCCCGCCGCGTTGGTGACGATGCAAGTGTAGTTTCCGACGTCCTCGGCTCCCGCTTTGTAGATGGTCAGCGTGGACAGTGTTTCCGAGAGCTGCTTGACCTCCACCCTTGGATGGGATTCGAGCCTCGCGCCGTCTTTGATCCAAGAAAACTGGAATGGTTCGCTGCCTTCGACAGCAGAGCAGTGTACGACAACCCTTTTGGGCATCGCCTTCGTCGTCGGAAAACTAAAAGGCTGCACTTTCGGTGGCTCGACTGGAAAAATACGAGCAGATCATCTAGTTCAACCTATAGATTCGTAGGTAGGTACGAAAGCTGCTCACCTGAGCTCTGAATATGTTTTAGGGTAGCCGCAAGTACCAGGAAAGTTAGAGCCGACGGCATGCTTGTGGCGAGCGGTACCTCTGCACAACGTCTTGCGCTACGCGTCGAACGCTTCTCTGTGGCTGAAGGTGGCTTTCAGCGTGGTCGGTTCGCTGATGCGGTGGGAAGTGCGAGTTCCTTTTGGTGTGGAAAGGTATTGCAATGCTCGAATTCGGACAACTAGCGCCGCATGTCGGAAACAACTGTAAAGTCACTGCGGTTAGGGCGCTAAATGCGAAATGCGTGTACGTGTGTTGTGGGGTGTGGAGCAGACGCTAAACGCTGCTGCGAATTGAGATAGCTTGCCGGATTGGGCATGGGGAACTATCTCCATAATCAAGAAACTGCAAGTTAGAATGTATAGCTTCACGTACGGTGGAGTCCGTGAACTCAGTTGCATCCAAAAATGCGTTCTCTGCAGCGTGATGTTAAATCAAGTTGTTCTATTCATCTATTCAATCAAGCGAAAGACACTGACACCTTTCTAAAGTGCTTGAGACTTGCCTGAGGCGGAAGTAGCGCTCTTGGGGAAGTTTACATCCACTTGCCTCTTCTAAAACGCATAATCAAAGCTCAGTGAACGTGATACAACCCGAAATGATTAAGAAAACCAGTTTGCGATGCAGTCTGTATGTGGCCACGCATTGAAACATGCGCCGAAGTTTAGGTTAAATAAGTAGTCACGATGACGTCATTGGTCCCTTGAGGCGCTTGCAGTATAGGGCAAAGCATAGCCTTCGAGAATGGCTTTCATTTTGCTCAATAAGTCTTGGTTGGGGTTCAGATGTGGACGCCTGCGACCGCCGCACTTCTGTGGGGTTCAAATGCAGAAACGTTCCAACATCTAGATTCAGGCGCACGTTAAAAAGGATGAGGTGGTCAAAATTAATTAGGAGTTATCGACGGCCTGCATTATTGTATACTTTGGCACGCGAAACCGACGTATTTATTGGATGGATGGATGAAGACGGAACCATTCACAGAGCATGCGAACTCTGGTTTTATAATGTCTACGCCGTAGTTAGCTCATCCATCACCGGTTGACAGCACCCTATATGTTAGATAGGTTATGGTACACACCATTGACGGCGAGAGAAGTCGTGAATTCGTCGGTTCCGGCGACGTTCGAGACTCGGCAGGTGTAGTTCCCGATGTCCGCGACCGAGACTAATTTCAGCGTCAGAGTGGAAATCTTGCCGGCGATTTCTTCGACCTCGACGTTCGGAATGGCATCGGCTCGGACGCCGTTCTTGAACCACGAGAACTCCAGAGGCTGGTGGCCTCGCACTGCGAAGCACGAGACTGCGGCGTCTTTGCCCAACTGAGCGTCATTTGGAAACGAGAAGGGCTGAATCTTCGGGCCTTCTGTAACGAACAAGTGTTTCACTGGTAATTGATGACTTTCTTGAAACTGTTCCTCAAAAGCTTGTCCCTAGGGTTATGCGAATGGTAATATCCGTGGCCAAATTAATATAAAAAACAACGAGTAGTGCCGCATGTCGATAGAAATACGTTTCGCATATTGAACAGTCGTCCGTGCAATAATTCTTAAACGATGTTGACGTTCTACTATTCATTGCACTAGCAAGAAAAACGCATCCGGAGCTGAAACAAGTATACAGGTACTATGCATGCGCTTAACTCTTATTATAAAAGTGCTTATGATCGTTATATGGTTTGCAGAATCGGCCTCTCCCGGCGACGTAGCCTGCTGGGCTGCCAAATATTGCATGTTCTCATGGCCACAAAGTATTCGCTAAAATGTAATTTCTCAAATACATCAATGTCATGTTTACGTAGTTGCAGTTGACAGCTTAAAATATTTGTCAATATGTATAAAGTATTTCTGTTTACCAACAACTATTCGATTGGCATACCTAAATAACCGAGATGATTTGATTATTGAAAATTTCGAATTATCGCACACCGCCGCTTGTTTGCTTCCAAAGTGCTCAGGAGGGACCGAATGAGTCGCGAATCTTAGAAAGACCGGAGCTTACCTACTGACGATGAAGGCGCAGGCAATGTAGCGGCGTGGCTTATGAATGCCACGACGAAGTAGTGACGCAAGTGCATCTGTAAACCCGTGCTTGATGGTGCGCTCATTTATGGACGGGCACGCTTAGGCACGCAGCGCTAGGAATGCTCGAGTCTCAATGAGCGGTCAGGTAGCAGTGCTGCATCTCCTAGCAAGTCACTTTTCCCATCTCCGGACAAGCAACGCCACATGGTGGAGGTTGCAGAAGACGAACCGAATGGCGGAATATTTATGGACGGTCAAGCGATCACTAAGCAAAACTGAGTTCATATCATATTCAATGAGTAGTACCCCGGTCACACGGCAAATGTAATGTTACTTACAGCGAATGCCATTCGTTGGTGATGTAATTTGTGTGCTGCTGTCCGGACAAACTAATGTCGTTGAATGATAAACGCCGTTCCTTGTCAAATCAGTACGAAACACACAGCGCATTCGGCTTCGGACCGAACGCGTAGTCTAGATGTCAGGGTAATTTTTAAGGAGATGCGTATTGGCTTAAGTATGTGCAGCTTTCGATATTAGTAATTAACTTATTCCTTACTATATTTAATCAGTTGGTTCAGTGACGTCATAGTAGGCGCGCAAGCTCACAAGGGAAAGCTATAAACAAACCAGCCCACATCACCGTCCTTCTATATGTAAACATGTCAGGCCAATTATTGCTCGTTCCATGAAAATGGCGTATTGTTATGTAAAAAAGGTTTGCAAAACACAAAGGGGAGATGCACGCAAAATCGAGCGATGAACAAATGTATACTTATCCACGAGATGGCGGTTCAACAGTGTTCGCGGCTTGAGGCTGAATGTGCCGACACGTTTAAGGTGATTGGATCATGTGGCCCAAGTAAGCGGTACAGTTTCATAGAATGGAGAGCGAAATTGATATGTCGACTGAATGAAGTTGAACGTTTCATAAAAAATGAACATTTCATAACAAAATGCTAGAGCGACACACACACACACACACACACACACACACACACACACACACACACACACACACACACACACACACACACACACACACACACACACACACACACACACACCACACACACACACACACACACACACACACACACACACACACACACACACACACACACACACACACACACACACACACACACACACACACACACACACACACACACACACACACACACACACACACACACACACACACACACACACACACACACACACACACACACACACACAACACAACACACAACACACACACACACACACAACACACACACAACACACCACCACACACACACAAACACACACACACACAGCACACCCACCACCCAGAGAGAGAGAGAGAGAGAGAGAGAGAGAGAGAGCAGAGAGGAGAGAGAGTATAAAGGATACGACCGTGCAATATACCGAATTCGGCCGACATTGTGAAGCAAAAAACGGCCTTAAACCTGTGACGTCACACTGCAATCTCCATATTCTACATGTTCGTATGCGGTACCACAAATGGATTTTAAAAAATGTCTTGGCTTTTTTTCCCTGTATATTTTACAAACAAAAATGACGTCGGAGATTGTAGTCAGTCTAGATCAATCATGTGCTCGTTCTGTGTTAGGTACGTCTCGAGCATTCCCTACGACGACGGTCACAGCACATTGCAGCCGCAGGCGTCGTGAAGCTGTGCCATTCAGTCACTTACCTCGGCATGTGCTGAGGCATAGATCGAATATTCCGAAGCAGATACTAAGAATGACCGCAGTTTCTTGAGTTTGAGAATTATGTACTTCAGCTATACTTGAATTCCTAGAACTGTATACTACTCATAACAACTGTGAAGCGCGCAGTTTTCGTTGCCGAAGTAAAAGGACTAAATATGCCAAATGTATTGATAAAACTGACCGGTCACGATCAACTCGGCGGTGTAGCTGTCGGTTCCAGCAGCGTTGCTCGCACGACACGTGTAGTTGGCCACGTCTTCCGCGCTCACGTCGGGGATGGTGAGGGACGACACGGATTCGGTGAACATCTTGGGCACCGCTTTCTCGTTTCCCAGCCCAGCGAGGTGAACGCCGTTCTTCAGCCAAACGAATTCCATCGGCTGAGAGCCTCTACTTGCAACGCAAGTCACAACTACGGTCTCGCCCGGCGGGTGCTCTTTCGGAAAATTAAAGGGCTGCAGCCTGGGTGGATCTGTAATGACGACAGGTTAAGCCGACACGACGCCTGAACGACTTACATAGTCGGTTCAGAAACGACAAAGAACGGCGTGGCTCCTACCTTGTTCGCAGCTTGTTTGTGGCGCGAGCGACGCGAGTGTAAGGATGAGTACGAGCATGGCGTGAGTGTGCACGTCAGCCTCTGCAGATGTAGTAGTGGCAACCGACGACTTCAATGGTTCGAGTCTGGACGCTTGTCGTCGATTTAGCACTTTCCCGAAGTTCCGAGCGATTTATGGGGCAAGTGGCGCCACACTGTGACTGTGCGAGAAACCATCGCCACCTGCGCCGCTAACTTTGAAATTGTGGGAAACGAAGTCCTGGGAACCCAAGTTGAAGATTCGATACCGCCAACTGATGACAAGAACACTGTGCAAACATTGTATGAGAACGCAGCAGTATATATTTTGCAAAGCGCTAAATTAGAAATGCATGACGCGCCCTTTCGAATGTTCGGGCATCACTTTTGGGCCGTCCCGCGTTTTTCTGGCTCCCCTTACAGTTCTTCACATTGTTTGATCCTTCCTAAAGAAAGCGTAAAATATACGCATCCGTTTTGTACCACATGCAGCACTATGACAGGCTATATCGGAATCCACTAGAGATATGTTGAGACTTCAAAAAAGGACTTGGAAGTAATGCCCTCCGCCACTGTCGCCGAAGTGTAACAAGAGTATGTACCATTACCTACGGTAAACATGTGACATTTATTAACTAACCTGACATGCTTGCATATTTCTTAAACTTGGAATGTCTAGCGATGTTTCTTATGAGGCTTCTGCATGGTTCATCATGAACTTTCGTGTGCTGAGGTGATCCGACTCACCTTCGACTAGCAACTCTGAAGTGGCACTGTCCGACCCATCAATGTTTGCTGACGGTGCACGTGTAGTTTCCGATGTCTTCAGCGCCCACTGCAGTAATCGTCAACGAAGAGCCCGTCTCGGAGAGTTGCTTCACCTGGAGCCTCGCCCCGTTGGCGAGTCTGTGGCCGTCCTTCGTCCAATAGAAAGTGAGCGGTTCGCTGCCTTCCAGCACGGCGCAATAAACGATCACCTTCATCCTCTCAACCAGATGGTGGGGAAATTAAAGGGTTGAATCCTCGGCGGCTCGGCTGCAAAGGCGTGCGAGAAACTCCCGTTACCGAACTGTGCTTGAACTTTCAAATATCCCGGCTCCTTTTTCAGTGATTGCTGCACATCTCACCCGAGTTTCCGCCCCTGATGCTGATCGATGCAGTCATGATGAGAACGAAAACAGATTCGAGCTGGGGTTGAACATCTGCATGTTGACGACCTGTCGGTTTGAGCATCTGCCGTGCTCTGACGTTCTCCTGCGTTCAACTCTTGAGCGCAGTCTGATGAATCGTTGGCGTGCCGTGGACAAGTGGCGCCACTTAGCGTAGTCCTCATGAACGACACCCCAACAGATTCAGGTTGGCGCTTCGTTTTCTTTGCAGCGCCAATGCGACTTTTTCGAATAGCGCGCTTTTAGAGTGCCCACAAATCAGCAGTTGAAAGCAAATGACGTTATTCGTCAATATTTTGTGGTCTTCTTTGTTGTCGTCAACTGCCGTACACAGTCTGCTGATTTCGCGGTCTGCTCGCTGCCCCGCAGGCCACGTGTACAATAAGAAATACACTTCAGGTGCATCGTTTGAAGTTGAGAGGGCACTTGAGTGCTTCTTGTTAAGAGGTTGGGGTGAAGTGGTCCCTTGTAGTTTTGGCAACTTACGAATTGTAAGTAGTGGCAGTGTCTTTTCTCTGCGTGCTCTGAAAAGTGTTCGTAGATCTACGAAACGCCTCATACTTACTACGTAGTGAAGAGAGGCTATACGGAAACGTGTGATAAACTTTCACGAGCGCATAGTCCACAGGCAGCACAAAAAACATACGATGGTAAATTGGCACTTTTTGTCGCCCCGACCTTTCCGCCGGTTAAAAAAAAAACAATCAATCAATTTCGAGCAACGGGCTTGTTTACTTTTTCCTGCATAACTTTGAGACCGTTTATGCGTGAAATAACGAGGCGGCTGTACACTCTTGGGGGTGAAGTTATGTAGCCCCAGCGTAGTATTGTGCGATTCTTGCTGTTCACACAAACGCATCTGTGGCTTGCTGCTCTGTGTAGAGTACGCTGAACAGAATCGACGCATCAGTATATAGCACTGTGTGCTCGTGTTTCGCACGTAGTCGTTAACGCAGAAATTTTGGCGTGGACAGCGAGGTGGTAGCATAGCAACAATCAATGGATGAACGTCGGCAGTGGGGTGCGAAAGGGGCACGTGCTCCCGTCATACCACACCAGCACTTGCCCCTCTCCCCAGTCTAGCTGCACCAGAGGTGCCCCTACACCAGCAGCGTGCAACGGGATTTGCACCCCCAAGACAAAATCCTGTCAACGCCTATGTATACCAAATGATCATTCGCCCACCACTGACCTGTTAATGCAAGCTGTGCTGTTACGCTGTCCTTGCCGTAGCGGTTTGTCGCTGGCAGGTGTAGTTGCCGACATCCTCCGCCGTTACGTCCAGTAATGTGAGGATGCTGACCGTCTCGCTGAGCACCTTGGCGTGAACCTTGGTCCCCGCAGTCACACGCTGTCCGTCCTTAAACCAGGCAAAGCTAATCGGTTCCGTTCCCACGTGGGGCGTTGCAGGAAACCACGATCTTGGAATTTGCTCGAGGGTCTTTCGGGAAGGCGAACGGTTGAATCTGGGGGGCTCTGTAATAACGTGGAGATAGTAATAACACACAGCAGAGGCTCCGTTATCGTCCAACGAAGTAGTGGACGAAGGCAAGCCGCTTGAGGCGGCTTCTTCTGAATGTAGTTATGAAGAGAGACAGAAAAGCTTACCGCCTGTGATGCCGGGAGCAGGCAGGATCAGAAATGCGGCGAACAGGATGTAGCATGACTCTGAGACGACGTGCATGGTTGAAAGATTTCGAGCTTCGCAAAGTGGGCCGAAAAGCTAGATATCTCACTCCCCGCAGTCGTGTGCGCGCAGAGTTCTGGCTTTTCACAAGAACGAAGAAAGGGGGAGACTGTGGAGGTGAACAGGATAGAGAAATAAGTTAGAGCACGGACAGCTAGCGCCACACCGCGAACACTGCGTCAACTACGCCATCGAAAAGGCGATCGAGAAATCCCGTGGGCCTGCCGCTGTTGTGCGAATACTCAATGCAAGAAGGCATGGTGACAATTAATGGATAAGAAATCAGTACCACTGTACCGGCAGCATGAGAACGGTGCACTTGGTCACTTGCCGAAAAAAAAAAAAGGAACATCAGCGGCTTGAACAGCAGTTGTTTTCGTGCAAGAGCGTCCAATTGCGACACGAGTGTTGGTGCTCATGGGAGTCGGTAAGGCGTGCAAAAAAAAAAAAAAAAGGCACTTGCTTACCCCAACCCACACTAACAGTTGCCCCCCACCAAGTTACACCCAGCGATTCGCCCTATACCAGCCGCGATGCAACACGGATTTGCACCCCCCTCCCCCTCAGAGACACATTCTGCCGACCATCTGTCGTACGATGTCCGGGTGAGCATTTTCGGTTATCGCCAACTGCGTGCATCGCTTCATTTCACCAGTTCTCCGACTACGATGATTACGTTTCGTAATTAGTTCTTACGATTTACAGCAAGCGGTATACATGCATCAAGCGTGCGCATTACACTCCTTTTTCAAACCGATTCGCGCTGCAGGGACTGTGAGCAATAAGTAAGCTATGCTGTATTAGTAACGTCACTCTTACGCAACGCCACAATGCCACTCTTATTGTAAAAGTAGACTTCCTTAGCACGTACAAAAAAAAAAAAAAACGTTTGGCGCGATGCCGTTTTGAAGTGCCCGCGCCAGCTTACAATGACGTCATAGTTTGAAGAAGTCTACCGGTTGCCTACATATTTTATGTCGTTTTGACGGACTGCATTGTATATTTCAGCGTGTCAAGGTTCAACTGAGGAGATGTAAAGAATTCGCCACAAACAAGGCGACATTATAGAGCGGCCCAGGTGACGTCACAGTGGCGTAGCCTTGCCGCTGTTTGCGTATGAAAGTCACTCATCTGAGGTTCGACCAACGCTATCCTAAGTAATGATGAAATTGATGCGAAACTTGCGTAAATATACTTCTATTTCACATTTTTTTTAGCCGATGTAGCCTTTACTTTTGTGACTTCGACGAATAATCGATGCACACAAACATTCGGACTACATTATTATAGTAAGCTTCTAGCGTTTATGTACAGACACGACGTGCCTGCTGAGTAAAGCGCCACTCGAAAAGACCGCTGCGTTATTCGGGAATTCAAATCGCCCGCGTTTAACCAAGTGTCTCTTTGCAGAAGCGCTTTCACTCTGAGTTCCGCCGGGAGAGGGCGCGACAGGTCCGCAGAGTGCGTCGGCAGGGCGATGGCACGAGGTCGCAATAGTGAATTATCAAAATCTCGTAAGTTCGTGGGACTGCATTTTCGTTCGCGTTGACATGCGTAAATAAAACGCATTCATTAGTGTTCAACGATGCGTTGGGATATATGTTCTCTTGATGCAAAACATGGGCTGGTAGCGGCAGCGCGAATAATTGAAGTTTCTAGCGCATTTTGTGTATTACTCGAGCTCCGTTTTCGAGAAAGGTACTCTGCAAACAAACCGCAAGACTGAACTATCGCTTTAGAAATACTTAGTGGTATCTTTATTTGTTATATCTTTTGGTCACCTTTGGCTCAGTTTTTTTTTTTCATGCCAGCGTCTACAGCTCGGATGATTACTTGCACTGAGCACAGTTCCTGCGTAAGCCGCTCCGCATACGTGCGTTCAGTCTGTGTACATAGTCACCATCTGTATGCAGTGCAAATGATATGCTACCCGTCACATGAAAACGCTATCCGCATACGGAGTAACTGCTAGTCCTCATGTCGGTTTCAGTATTGCTGCATGAATGATGCTTGTCCACTCGAAACTCTTCGGACATTAATTAGCGTGTGCCGAAGTGCGCCATGAAGACAGACTTCCCACGAGCTTTGGCGCAGTGTGCAATAAAATTAAGCAGCCCCGCCGCGGTGGTCTAGTAGCTAAGGTACTCGGCTGCTGATCCGCAGGTCGCGGGATCGAATCCCGGCTGCGGCGCCTGCATTTTCGATGGAGGCGGAAACGCTGTGGGTCCGTGTGCTCAGATTTGGGTGCACGTTAAAGAACCCCAGGTGGTCGAAATTTCCGGAGCCCTGCACTACGGCGTGTCTCATAATCACATGGTGGTTTCGGTACGTTAAAAACCACATATCAATAAAATTAAGCAACCGAATCAACCTCATGGCCTCCAGAACGATGTTTCTATTATTTTTAGCCGTCAAAATCGAGCCTACTCAACGAATGTACGCTTCTAAATATGGTCTTATTCCAAGAAAAGTTATCTGGGTGGAGTCAACATGGCACGCAAGTCTTTCATAGAAAGACGAAGTAAGTTAACAACATGAGAAATGTGCTACAATCAGCAGAACCTTGTGTGGCGGATGTTCGAGTAATAGTATCACGCAAACTGTGCGTTATCGGTGTAAAACCTCCCACTCTATCAGATACTATGACAGGTTTACCGTTATTACGCATAAGCCACTTGAGCGTTCTCTCTCGTTTCGAGCGGCTCACCTTCGACGAGCAGCGTCGCCGTCACGGCGTCCCTGCCGACGTCATTGGTTACGGTGCACGTGTAGTTTCCCACGTCACGGGGCTCCACTTTCTCGATGGTCATGGTGGTTATGCTCTCCGTCACGGCTGTCGCGTACTTGGTCTTTGTCGCGCCGCCGATGGGCTTGCCATCGTGAGTCCAGCGAATGTCGAACGGCCCCGTGCCTCGAGTCACGGCGCAGGTCAGCGCGATCCTGTCCCCCAGGGAGACGTCCTTTGCGAAAGAGATTGGCATGACGACCGGTGGCGCTGAGGAGTTCAAGTAGGCGAACAAAAAGGCGATTGGTAATTAGGGATGAATCGTTTGAAGTAACGGGTCGTAGGTCATTACAGGTAAACGACTTACATTTGCTCCCTTGGGCGTTCTCAGCCAATACCGCAGCAGCTGCGAAGAACTGCAGGACGACGGTACTACAAAGCCGACTTGAGCGCATAATGATTCGTTGTATTTAGTTAACTATAACTGCTGCTACAAAAGGCGCAAGATCGTTACGGCTGCGTGGGTTTACTTGTCCGGCGTGGTGTCTAAGCGTTCTGGGAACATTTACAGAGGAAAGCGCGCTTTTATACTTCGCCAGCAGCGTGCCTTCCAGTGGACAAGTAGCGCCACGCGACGGGGAGAAAAAGAACTAAGGAAGGCCTGTACCGTTGTGAAAATGGCGGCAGTAATTTGAACTGCTGAAAAATCCTGGAACGTCCGTAGCGCTGAAGAAAATAAATATTTAGCGGAAACTTATTTCGTTAATGACTTAATGGCGTTTTTCGAAGATCACGTTTCTCATCGCTTATCTATAGTATCACCGGCGTAGTATCAGGAACACTGTCCCGATGTCGAAATACAACATGAGAATAAGTCTGAAATGCTCAAATGAGGAAGTACTGGAAATCGGGAGGCTTTGCTTCGCCAATATCAGATTACGTTTGTACAAAACAAGTTTTTCCGAAGGCTGTTTGCAAATACTTCCACATTTAGAGTGGACACATGCGGGTCACGATGAAGGTAAATATGCGCACCGCGAGAACACGAGAACGTGTTCCTCTATACACTTTGTGTGTTGTAGACGCCGCCGTGCGTTGTATTGACGCCCAGAGTTGGGTCGTGCTCTTACCCTCAACGTAGAGAGCGGCTGCATAGGTGGCGCTTCCAACGGAGTTGGACACCGTGCACGTGTAGTTTCCGAAATCTTCAGCGCCGACGGCTTCGATGGTCAAGGCTTCGACGTTTTCGGCGAGAACTTTGACGTGCTTTCTAGAACTACCGGTCAGCGCGGTACCACCGTGCGTCCAAGCGTATTGGAAAGGTCCGGCGCCACTCGAAACGACGCACATGACCGTAATCTTCTGACCTAGCCGGACATTCTCCGGAAACGAGAACGGCATGATCGCTGGAAGGCCTAGAGGAATAAATGACTGCCGTTCAATAACACGCACTGACCATTGCGTAGCGAAGGAGTCTTTTAGGTGGTACACTTGCATAGAATCACTCACCGGTATCGACGCTGTAGCAAGGAGCTATGAGGGTTAGCAACCCTAAGATAAAAAGAGAAGCTAGCTGGACCTCCATGTCACCAAACGACGTCGCCGCACTAGTCTGAATAGAAGCAGAGCGCTAACTGATGCGCGGCTGGTGACGTCACGGTGGCGACTGAAAGTTGCGAACTTAGACGACTAGCGCCGCTCTGAGGGGATACCGAGAACTACGTCTTTCATCTGTGCCTTTCATCGCGGTTTTCCTGCGCGCGATGGTTTGAATGCGCCGCGCGCTTGCTCACCGGTTAATTTAGCAGTTACATTTGGTTGGGGGACGCAAATTTGCATTACACGTTTTTTTTTGTGATAATGCGATTTTTTTTGTCATTTCACGGCAAGTGTCCAACAGTAAAAATGCCTTTCCGTACCGTCAACGCGATCGCGTATTCAACTGAACTTTGATCATATGCTTGAACTCTTGAACAAGTAGTGCCCAAGAGGGGTTCCACCCCCGCCCCCCCTTGCCACTCCTAATACCTTTTCTTTCTTCATACTGATCGTAAAAGCTATGGCGGGTAAGAGTAAAAAAAAAAAAAACGGGGGTGGAGGCCTGTGCTGAAAGTTCTCCCCAACCAATAATGGAGAAGACGGCGCAGGTACGGTTGAATAAGATTCCTACAACCTACGAAGAAGGAATTCCAACATTTCACAATGGTGAAAAGAAGGAAGTTGGAAGAGAGCTGCCGAATGATTTGGACGTTTACGAATAACTGTGGATTACAGCAAACGGGTAATGCTCCTCCACCTAACGTGTAGTGTCCACGCGAAAGTTTGATATCCAGTTTGTCGCAGAATAAGCCTATTTCCACGCCTTTTCGCGCTTGTTGGCGGGATGATGCTAGTTATAGATACTTGCCGCTTTCCGCGAATATTGCATCAACGAAATTACACTGTACACAAGTAACGTTGGCGCGTGATGCACAGTGTATTTGTGCATAGCTTTGTGTGCTAGCAAATGGAATTCCGTTTGATCAAGTGAAATTGTGGTTAAATAGAATTCAGTATTTAGTTTACTTCTTGACAGTAATAGTGATTTTCTATACAAATAATGTCACGAAACATGCGACCAGGGACGTCGAAACTACAGAAATCAGCCTCTGCAAACAGTTGTGCTAGTAGCGATGAGGCTTCAATGTGTCCTAATCTTTATGCACTTACGTTCATCAAGACCAAAACCATCGAACAATTTTGTGTCTTGCGTTGTGCATACGGAGCGGAAATTAATACGCCAGGGAAAAAAAAAGCGACTGAGAACACACTCACAAGTATACAGCAGTAATGGACAACAACATCCAGGAGAGTCAATCAGGAATCTCCCTGTAAGTGGTTCGTTGACCAAACTCGACGCTGCACCTTCCCCACCTCGGACGACGAGCGTCGCGGTGTAGCTGTCGGTGCCGTGGGCGCTGGTGACCGCGCACGTGTAGTTGCCGATGTCCTCGGCCGAAGCCTTCTCCAGCGTCAGAGTGGCGATGTTCGCGGTGTCCTGCTTGACGTACTTCATAGTTGCGCTGTTGCCGCCACCTCTCACCGGGCGGTTGTTGTGGGTCCAGGCGAAGTGAAAAAGGTGCCACGCCTCCGATCACCACGCAGGCCCTCTGACCCAGGGCCGTGTTCCTCGAGAACGCGAACGGCTGTATCTCCGGCGGCAACGACGAATGCCTCGAGATGGTCGGCACATCTCTTAAGACTCTCTTCGTGTAGAGGCCGAATGGGAGGTCCCGAGCGTCGGCGAGATTTTGGGCGAGAACCGCAAATCTGCCACTCGCGAGCACACAGACGAGAAAGCTGACCGAACTGGAAGCAAGCTCTTTCATCGTGAACGCCAATGCTTTCGAATCCTCGTGCGTAGACTTTATCTCAGTGCTCAGTGCGACGGCGTCTTTGCCTCCAGGTCCCTCGATCGGAAAGCAGTGCGATTTCATGGACAACTAGCGCCAGCGGCGCGTGGATCGCTTGCACTGCAGAGGATGCCTGTGCAATCACTTCTCTCAGTTTTTTAAAGCGCTTTATAAAGCTCTGAAAGCAATGTGATTTCACGAACGACTAACGCCACGTGGTGTTGGTCGCTTAGACTGAAAAAAAAAATTCATTTTTCCAGCCTTTCCAATTATTTTTCTCATTGTTTATAGCGGTTTACGAAGATGTTTGTTTTCGGGGCTTGCCGGGGAGTTTAAACATGATTTTACACGCATGTACATCATCGTGGTTGTTAAACAGCTTTGCGTATTCGTGTAATGAGGTCAAGCCTTGAAAAAGAGGAAGTCTAATTGGATGTATTTAATTTAGGTTTCCTTTATTCGGACGTGTATGGATATAAAAGATACATAACGAGATGAGGCGCAAAGCAAGCAAAGCAAGGCGTACTTCCTGATGAGGCCTGAATTGCGGTCACGAAAAGAGAGAGACAATAAATAGTTAACTAGGCGAGAGCATCTTATCATGTCTGCAAGGCATTATATGCACATTGTTGATGCGGTGACTGATGACATCGAAGAATGATGACTGAGTGACCAGTTATGGGCAGGAAGGTTTATACTACTCACTAGATATGTAATTCGCATAGTGTGACGCAAAATTGCTTGCTTTCTTTAGGAGCGTAAAATGTAGAAGCTATAAGCTGCTCAGTGTTTACGCAATCTTTAAAATAATCACGACTGGTAATCTAACAGGAAAATTTTGTGTTACAGTGACGACCGAGGACACCTACAAAAGTCCACATTTTCGGCAAGTGTACTGAGGTAAGCGAATCTTTATAATCGTTTTTGTGTGCTCGGGCAGTCCGAGGTGAGGCTGCCGGTTCAAAACATACTGCGCGTCACCTGATAACGGGCACGTTAATTCACGGCAGCGTCCGCTTGATTGGTGGTTGAACCAATCAATCTCCCGCGCAAGAGCAGTAGAGAGAAAAAAAATAAAACAATAAAGTTAATACTTAGACAAATTGATTTGGAAGTGTGTTCGAATCATTTCATCGAAAGAACATCATCATTACTTTTTTTGCAACCGAAAAAAGAAAACGAGAAAGAAATTAAAACGGAATATGCGTACCAGCGACCAAATTAAAGCCATGCTTTCCTCTACTGAATACTGCGCGCAGCATGCAGCAGCACAACTGCAGTGCGGAGTCGGCATTTTGAATGTATATCCTCGAACTTCATCGGGCCATAGAGAGTTACCATGCCGACAGAAATGCCATTTAAAACTATAAAAAAAAACATCACGAGAATGCATTGTGCGTCAAATTGAAAAAAAAAGGTAAAGAAAACAAGTGGTGTCGTTGCTAGCCTCTTAGTTGTATATAATTTCCGAATTAAGAACTTTGTTATGACGCTGAGTCGAGGGAGCAGAACTTTCGATATTGCGGTCATGTGACTCAATGAGTACAGGTTATGCGAATGGTCACTGTGAGTGTCCCTAAAGACGTTCGACCTTGCTTAGTTTTCTGCGATTGCTGTTGAACCTGTTCTCGTGACAAACGCTTCATTGTGTGTGTGTGTGTGTGTGAACGTTTTTTTGTTTTTGCTGCACCCCGCATTGTCACATTTCCGTCCTCTTTTCTCAGTGCAGGGTAACTAACCGGGCTAACCCTTGCTAACCATTATGATTGCTGACTGCCACAAACAAATGAGCCTACCTTCCACTATCAACGGCGCCGTGGCGCTGTCGCTGCCGAATCCGTTGCTGACGGTGCAGGTGTAATTGCCGACGTCATCGGCGGTCACCCGCTGAATGGTGAGCATGACCACGTTGTCGAGCACAGTCCGAGAGTACTTCCTCTCTGTGTTCGCGAGGAACTGGCCGTCCCGCGTCCAGGCGAACCGAAAGGGCTTCCTCCCCAGCGCAGCGACACACGTGACGCTCACTTCCTGTCCGACAGCGACGCTCGGCGGGAAAGCCAGAGGCTGGATGCGCGGCTCGTCTGCGGCGCCAAGAAAATTGCATTAGGTTCCTTAATCCTTCAGCAAGCAAGCGGTTTCATCCGTAGCGGTGTTCAACCAGTTTACCTGGGGTCGCCGCGTGAACGTCTCCAAGCAGTTCGAGAAGTAGGATCCATGTCCTCACCCGCAGCCCTCCTTTCAAAGTCATGCTTTAGTGAGGAATCGCCACTCGCAAGCCGCGGGAAAATGGTGGTGCGGCACTCTTGCAGGTGACCTCGCTCGCTGTGCGAAGTGTTGGTACCGCGATTTTCTTTAGTCGGAACACGACTTGAAGAGTCCGGAGAACTAGCGCCGCGTTGCGGGGAGCGTCGAAGTTGAGCGGGCAGTGCGCGTAGGTTTCAATAATTTGAAGGAGACACTGCACGTGGGTGAACTTTTATAACTAGTTTGCTATAGAGGGTTGAGAGTTACAACATTTCAGCTTGTTACAAAAAAAAAAAAGGAACTATAGAAGTGAGAACTCCTATCGGCTTCATCGAACATCTTTGTTTGTCCTTCATTTGTTTTCGCTCACCGTTGATGAAATCAATTTTTTTGCGTTGTCAATATAGAAAAAAACTTATGACGACGTATACGTGCATACCTTAGAATTGGCTAGAAAATGAACAACACAAATACTATTTGGGAGTAGCCACGACAGGTGGTCATGAAAACAAAACACAAACGTACACGCGTATATATTAGCACGGACGAAGCTAGTTCAATCAATAGCGCTTAATGCGCATTTCGTCAGCTCTTCCTCACTTACCGACCGGAAGATACCTGACGATACATTTTGCGGAACGTACGTTTTGAAAGTACTCGTTGCTTGACGACGTCCCTAACCCTAAAAGCGTGCAATAAAAGAACTCGTCCGGAATATTTTCTCTTCATAAGCGTCAACGTCATTCAAAGTACATGCGTGCAATACGTCAACGCTTGCCCCCTCCCCCCACCCTCAGTATGACATCTGCACGCCAAACTGCCAATATTGTTCTTTCGGTTACATGCGATGTAACATGCAGTGGTTTGATTGCGACCAGTGTTACATAAGAGCCCCGCAGGTGAACGGTACATCACTGACCTGTGACGAGCAGCTCTGCGCTGTAGCTGTCGCTACCGATTGCGTTGGAAGCGCGACACGTGTAGTTTCCAACGTCTTGCGCCGTCACTTGCGGGATCGTGAGCGTCGACAGCGTTGCCGACAACTGCTGGGCCACTGTTCGGCCTCCGTTGTGGTCCACGGGCCGGCCATCCTTAAACCAGGCGAAGTGCACCGGCTGCGTGCCCCGTATCGCGATGCAGGACACCACGAGGGTCTCGAGCAGCGGGTGCTCCTTGGGAAAGTAAAATGGCTGAAATCTGGGGGCCTCTGTGTATCAATGCCACCGGGGGATGATTACGTCTCCAAGAAATATCGGGATTCAACCTTCAACGAGGAAATGCTTTACCTTGAGCCGTCGCTGCGGAATGGATGATGGTACCGAGCAGTGAGCCAAAGATCCACGGCAAAGTGGAAAGAAGAGACATGTCGCCGCTCGTGCTGCGCCTCCAAAACTCGTGAGGTTCGCGCTGAGATCCAAAGCAGAACGCCTCTTTTATAGTGAAAATCTGTGCATCTTGCGGGAGTGGACAACTAGCGCCACGTGGAGTAGGATGTTGGAACTATCCTAGCTTGCGCGGCTTTTGATATCGGAGGTATGTGGGCCGCTTCGCGAGGCGTCTGCGAGTGGCATGTCTCGTGCGAATTTTAGCGCTTGACGAAAGGAATGAATCATCCACAACGTAATGTTAAAGAAAAAAACAAGAAAGAAAGTTGGAAAAAAAAATAAAATCTTGTCACCTTGATGAGACCATTCGGCGATCTCGGTGTTCTCAGATACATTGTTTTGCGCAGGGTACAATGAAAATTTAAGTAGCGGATGAATTTGATTACATAAAAAACGTCATAACTATTTCGCACATCTCCGCAATCATCATTCGTAAGTGTAAAGAAGCTAAAGTAGCAAAGCAGCAAATTGGGATAGTTAAAATATACTCATCACGATCAGCGCACAAAAAAAAAGCACAAAAAGCACAAGAAAGTGCACGATATGGGCGCTGTCTAACAACTAGTGTCGCGCTTTTGTCGTGCACTTTCTTATGTTTTTGTGTTTTTTTGCGCGCTGATTGCGATGAGGGTGTAAATAAGCTCTTCAAAAACCACCTGTATACGTACCAGCGTGGTACTATTGAATGTTATCGGAGAGTTGGCGCCACGAACCCTGAGCCACTTGCGCGTGCACGTTCTTGCGTTCCTTTGCACTCCTAGCTGCATGCACCCATGGAAATTACAAAGGAATGCAAGACGTCGCGTATACGCGGGCCGCTTTGGGGTCCCGGTACTATAATTATAAACCTCTTCATTGACTGGAAACGCAGCGGATTCCCCCTTCGACTGGAGCTTCGTCCTTAGTAGTCGGAGTTCTCTGATTTCGCAAATACACGAGCGCGTTATCTACCTTTAGACGAACACACAGAACGCTGATTAGTATGTGAGACATCGACAACACCCACCGGAGACAACGAGCTCGGCCGTGAAGCTGTCGCTGCCGGCGGCGTTGCTGGCGCTGCATGTGTAGTTCCCGACGTCTCCGGCGTCGACGTTCGGCACCGTCAAGACGGATACGGACTCCGTGATCATCTTCGACACGGGCTTCTCGGTCCGTCCCGCTTCTGGCAGTGGACGTCCGTCTTTCGACCAGGCAAAGCTGAACGGAGGAGTGCCGTGGTCGACGATGCATGTTACCACCACGGTCCGTCCCCTTTGGTGATCCTTCGGAAACGCGAACGGGTGTACTCGGGGAGCAGCTGCAGGTGCTGTTGGTGATGCGCGCCGTAGATCAACGATTAAGAATATAGGAGCTGCTCGAACTCGTGTTCAAATTCGATAGGGCCTACCTGCTCGAGCTGTGACGTGCAGTCTCAACGCCGTTGCTTCAAGGAAAAGGACGGTCAGTATGGCGTCGAACAGCGACATCGCTCGCTGGTGCTTTGGGCAAACTTTTTGTGACTGAACGGTGGTGGTAGTGGTTAGAAGAGGAGAGAGGCACCTAATTTCTGCAGCCCGGTCGGGAGCACGGCGCAGTGCCTATGTGGCTGATCGAAAGCTGCCTCGTGGCTGTTATGCAGCGCAGGCAGGGCTGGATGCTCGAGTCATACCAAATGTGTTCAGAAAGCGAGGCTCGTAGCGCCAGCTATGTGAAGCTACGAGAACTGTAGAAGAGGAACGGCTCTAGGGGAAGAATGGCGAGCGAAATTTGAAAGCGCGTGTTTGACACGGGTGATGCGTTATTCTTGCTGAGTAGCTACTGCTTTGTACAAGTCATTGCGAGGACTCGGGTGAGGAGGAGAAAGGAGGAATCGACCCCCTCCCTGTCGTTCTATCTCGCCTCCCCCTCCCACCTAAAATTATTTGTGTGCACCCGAAAATGTGGATAGTTGATTTTTTGACTTCAGATAAAGGTGAAAATTCGGGGAATCCGGTATTAGTGGCAGCTTCTCGGGGAATTCGGGAAGGGGAGGATATATGCGGACGAACCCCATACCTCTTCACTATAAGTATTAGGAGGTGCGCTGCAAAGTGCTTTAGAAAAGTAAAAGAGTTGGTATTGGCGCCCTTGCGGCATTGGAATAATATTATCGCGAAACTGTGAAAACGAGACGTACCACAGTGGTGATTCCTTGGTGGCTGACCGTGGGTTAACTGTAGTGAGTGTTAAATTGCTGCTACACATTTATTTCCTTCGATGGAAACGAAAAAAAAGACGAAAAAAAAAGACAAACGAAATCATTGGATGTGCGCTTTTGAATAAAACAGGCGACCTAGACAAACAAGTCAATTCGTAGTTCTCGTGTGATGTGCAAAAATGAATATCGGAGCAGAAGGGCATCGGTATAGTAGGACTGTATTCTTTTTAAACAGGTGAACGCAGGTCGAGAAGTGGAATGCTCGGTCATGGGCTGTTTGTAACTCCGCGGGTTTCGATATTGCCGTTTTTTTTTTCTTTCCAAAAGCCGTACGTGACGGTGCAACTGAGCTGCCTTTGAATTTCAACTTATTATTATACATGCGAGGAAGATGCATATACGCATGAGTTTCGGCAGGATTTTGTCTAGAGAGATGCAAACCCGTGACGTATCGCTGTTGGAAGAGGGAGCCCCCCCCCCCCCCCCCCCCCTTGCCGACGCCCATGAACACGTGCACTCTGTTTTGCCGACGGCTCTAACCACTCCAAGCGGCATCAACGAAAGCCATGGAGCTATATGTAGAACAAAATCTGCTTTAAAAACGCGCATCGCTGATTGGCTCAAGTTTTGAAGTAAGCAACAACGGCGGCACCTCTAAATGGCGCGCAATATGCTGCCGTTTTTTGCGATATTATGTGCAGCTGAGCTTAGATTTCCGAAATTGTCTCACCCTTGACTAGAAGCTGCGAGCTCGCACTGTCCGATCCGGCGACGTTACTGACGGCGCACGTGTAGTTGCCGATGTCCTCGGCTCCCACATCCGTGATGGTCAGCGATGACAGCGTCTCCGAATGCTGCTGCACGTGAAGTCTGTGGGCGTCCTGCACTGGCAAGCCGTCCTTCGTCCAGACAAATTTCAGCGGCTCCGTACCCTCGAGTACGGCACAGTGAACGATGACTTTCTTCGGCATCGCTTTGGTCGACGGAAAATTGAACGGCTGCACTTTAGGTGGTTCGACTGAAAGGAACAGCACAGCGCTCAGAAATGCTGACCGCTTGCTCGTGCGTTCAACGTCGCATATTTGGACTCTCAGTGGTCTCACCTGACTGTCCATGGCATGTGCAGGCAAATACCGCTAAGGTGACTGTGACGAAGGCACGCAAAACGCAGCGCACCATTGCTTCCCAGACTGGTTTGCCTGGGTCGACGCTTCGCAGACGGTCGACTGACATGTACTGACGTGCAGACGTCTTCTTGCACCGTTGTTGGCTGGAATTTGGGTGCGCCGTGGACAACTAGCGCCCTTCGGTGGCGAAATTCAAAACCAATGCACCCCTTGTGTGTTGCCTTGTGCGCGCAGAGTGGCGGCAGCGTGGCCTTAGCTACAGTGGCTAGAATTAGCTGTCGCTGTCGACGGGGTGATGGCGCTGCACGTTTTAAGAGCACGTAAAACGGCTCCATAGGTGTGCACATTAGGCTTTCATTTTTTTCGTGAGTTCTTATGAATGATTTAAAACTTACTTGTAGTTTCGACCTTATTGCTCTTTTTTCGACATCTTCTACTGTATATGTACGAGGTTTAGTGCGGTGCGCACTGAAATTCAAATAATTTTCGGCATTGAGGCGTGCAGAATAACCACAATTGTATGTATTCAGTGACCATATAAGACAAAATTCAGACAGCGTGGTAGTTTTGTTGCTTTGGATATAAATAACGTATTGCCGCAGAGAAAATAAAGCTCGCTCGCAAACAGTGGTCGCAGGAGCTGCAGTGAAGATGGAAAAGGGTGAAAACGTAGATAGGAAGAAAAAGAAAGTACTGTGGAGTACTGCATAATCGACAGAAAAAAGGACGGGCCAGTATATTTAAGATGAACAGACGAGAGAAACATAGATGACGAATTATGCTTGCGTAATCTATGATACATAGCTGCATAATTAATACGTACGAAGCCGAGCGCCTCAGTTATCGCAGAAAAAGCAGTACGCCTCGTTTCACCACTCGCACACCTTCATGGATCATATCAATTGCGTTTACGGCATAGTTTGCAACAGCAGAAGCGCGAACGCAACGTCAAAACGCAGCTGACGTAAAGGGTGATTTTTAAAGCGTGCGCCTCAACAGTTTTTCTCAAACACACACACACACACACACACACACACACACACACACACACACACACACACACACACACACACACACACACACACACACCACACACACACACACACACACACACACACACACACACACACACACATATATATATATATATAAATATATATATATATATAAATATATATATATATATATATATATATATATATATATATATATATATATATATATATATATATATATATATATATATATATATATATCGCAGCATATGATGCAGCAGGTTGCCGAAAGTGAGATATGGCTTGAAATGTTTTTTTTTTTTGTCAACATAAAGTGCTGGATAAACGAATAAGACCCACCGGTAACAACGAGGTTTGCGGTGAACCCGTCATTTCCGGCCCCGTTCGACACCCGACAGGTGTAGTTGCCGACGTCAGCTCCGGACACTTCGTGTATGATGAGTGTGGACATCTTGTCGAGAGGATTCTTCACTGCGAACTTTTACCCAGCAGTCAATCTTTCTCCGTTTTTGAGCCACTCAAAGGTGAGCGGCAGAGCGCCCTCTGTGGCGAAGCACGTCACGGTTACGTCTTTTCCTACCGGTGGGTTCATCGGGAAGAAAAACGGCTGTATTTTGGGCGATTCTAGAAAATATTGGTTCGGAGAGGGCAGGAAAAAGAAGGGGTTTGTGAAAGAAAAGTAACATTAATGGTTGTTCGATTAGGCCTTGTACACGCTCGGAGCTCAAGCCAAGTTTTGTGTAGTAGCAATTGCGGGATGGTCAGCTTACCGATGGAATGGCTAGAAGTTGTCACTGCGCAGGTTGCAGCCAGGAACATCAAGGCAGAATATACAGGCGTCATCTTGCTAACCACTCGATAACGCAAACTCAAGAAGCCGTTCAGAGAACTGGCGATTGGAACGATCACACCTGCTCCCTTGCGACCGCGCAAGTGAATGGTAGACACATCGGCAAGACAAAGCAGCGACCCATCGTATTCCTCAAACGGGAAACTAGCGCCACGTGGTGGACGAGTCAGAAACGACGTCAAGCGTGGTGCAGTTTTCAAACTGCCAACTTCGGAGTTGAGCACGCGTCTGTCGTGTCAGTCTCGCAGCATTTGAATATGTTTTGAAGGCATCGAGTTCGGCGTACCGCAACAGTGGTGACTCAGCAGGTCGAGGTTGCCGGTTCGATTCCCTGCCGCGACGACCACGTATTCATGGCGACGAAGTGCGAAGGACTTAGGTGCCAGCTGCACAGGTCGTTGTCTAAATAATCCGGAGGAATCGTGTGCCTCATAATTATATCGTGTTTTTGGGCACCTCATACCGCAGCATTATGTTTAGTTTAATTCGTACTACAGCGTAAGCGAGGTGGTAAATCAGAGGCTGTACTTTTGAAGTTGTGACTTCGAGGTCTGCAGACGCTGCACTGTTTGACTGTGTCGAAGACACAGCAGCGGCGTAGTTAAGCACTGCTTTGACCCCCCCCCCCCTTCCCCCCCCAATACTTTCATTTAGTTTTATCTATAGAAAAAAGTTTATAGACGTTCACTTACCAACAAACGCACGAGCATGCATAAAAAAAGGTGTCACCCCCCCTCCCCTTCTATTACGGACGCAAGAATTGCCTTGATGTGCCCTTTACTCGATGGAAAGTAAATTGAAGTTCTTCCGACAAAGTTTGTCAGCGCCCCAGTACTTGTAACTACACGGAATAAACAAATGCTTTTAAAAAGGGTTAATGTACGTGGGCAGCTTACGCTTAACAATGATCGCAATCGGTCGAAATCGTGGTAAGTTGGGGTGTTTGTGAAAGAAATAGCATAGGAGAACCAAGGAGACACAAATGTTATCCCGAACACATGGAGATTAACCGGAAAAAGACATTCACTGATGCTGCCACTGTCGCGGCGTCGTTATAATTCTAAAGGCCTGTGCCCGGTGCCTCCTGTCTCTCGAGGATCGTTTAGGTCGTGCAGAGGACCTAAACGGCAATTTCTTCTGTGGTAATTTACATTGTCGCACACTACACTAACCTGTAAGCAGCAGCGCCGCTGTGAATGTATCTCGGCCGAAATGGTTCGTTGCCTGGCAGGTGTAGTTGCCGATGTCCTCCGACGACAATTCCGGTATGATCAGCATGCTCACGGTTTCCGTGACCATCTTCTGTTTGACCTTAGTTCCGGAGCTCATCTCGCGGCCGTCCTTGAGCCAGACAAACGTGATCGGCTCCGTTCCGAAGTGGGCGTTGCAAGAGATGATCACTTTAGAGTTCGCCCGTGGGTCCTTCGGAAAAACGAACGGTTGAATCTGGGGAGCCTCTGAAAACGCAAGATTTAACGAAGCCAAGCTGGCGTTTTACAAAAGCGTGGGTAGATTTGGGTGCCGTCTCATAACGGTACGGAAAGCGAACCGTTTGCTTTGTCTCTCTTGATTGGTCCGACTCACTGTACTGTTGCGCACGAAAGCGCGTTTCTGGCCAATCATGAGAAGGCAAGCGAACGACCTCTCTTTTCCGGACTGTTTTGATGTAGCGCCCCCGGCTTATTTTCGACGGGAAACAAAAGCACCTCACCAACAGTTTTGCAGGACGGTGGAGCCACGAAGAGGAAAGCTGTTACTGAAAGTAAATGTATCAGCAGAGAACCCATGATGGCGCCAATGTAGTTGTGTGCCAGCCACGAGGTGTTACTTGTGTGCGCCAGGAGATTAGCGTATCAAATGCGGAGGAAGCGCTGTGGTTTTGGAGACGCAGAACAGTGCGGCGAGGTGAGGGAAACGTTGCTCTTGTAGTCTGGCCTGGACAACTAGCGCCACGTCGTGGAATATGGAGCAACGACGTCACAAAGCGGGGTGCTCCTGAACTGCCCGCCATCAAGAAAACCGATAAACTGGCACAGCCCAAACGTATTGCTATACCAACGCTAAAAGTCCATCAGAATTAGCGAAGCATTCCTCAAAACATCAACAGCTTTGCACGCGTAACAAAATTGTGGTAAATTTTGGTAAATGTTACATGGCACGTGCTATTATCCGAGGTCACAAATTTGAGTGTAAATTTTCGTGTTTAAGCTGTGACTTCACAGTGAAAGTTCTAAATGCTTACTATCTGCGCAACTTCTTTAAAATATCTCACCGGTTTTTCACGGCAAATTAAGAAAAAGAAACTATACCTGCGAAAACGGAATGAAAGTGTGACTTCACAACGAGCTGTCACTAAAGCTTTGAAAGACAGCGCCGCTAAGCGCACTTTTGTTTTTATTGCATATGAACCCTCCTCTCTCGGTGAGAGCTGGGCATGTGCTGATGTTGCTGGAAGAGCCAGTTTTTAATACAGCTCGAGTTAATATGTAGTCACTGAAATCGCTCAGCTTTGTATTGCTTATTTAATCTCGAAAACACGAGACTTTCCCAAGTCTCGTGCATTTTTTGCCACGTGGTAACGAAGCTTCGTCCCTACACGAAGCTTTCCTTACCACGCGGCTCAAAATACACTGGACTTGAGAAAGTTTTGTGTTTTCGAGATTAAATCAGCAACACAAAAACTTATTAGCCGCGCGAGTTGCTCATCGGCTGCGGTAACTTGATCAGTTGACAAAAATAATACATTATAGTGTTCATTCAGACTAAAAGCGCCATGTGCCGACCACGGCTATTAGCCCCGAGAAGTTGGAGTGGCGCCTCCTGGTGAGAGGCCTGATTGACGTCACGGCACGGACTCTTTGATGCCTGCCGCCGCGTGCCTTCATAATGATGCGCTGGCTTCGTGCGCTGTTCCGCTGTTTGAGTTCGCTTTCTGCTCGTCTCAAGCTCCAGATAAATGACTGAAATAGAATCAGTAAAGTTCCTGGTAAAACAATAAATGTTTTACTTTTCTTTCTACGCGATCGCGCGCTCGGTCGTTAGCACTGTGAAAGGGATAAAAAGGTCTGTGTGGCGCTGCTAACCACGATGATGTATTGCATTCTTGGTTACGGCACCCGCATTTCGACGGGTGCGAAAAACAAGAACACAGTTCTGCTTGGATACAACAAACTCTTTGGCGCATTATCATGTGAATTGAGACGCAAGGCACAATATTCACACTATTAGGTTGAGCTGTCCGTGGGTGATTTCTATAGAATATATGAGAGTTTCCCTTTCTCTAGGGTTATTTGTATCGAAAAAAATCCACGTAATTACGGGCAGTGTTTTCGTTGGTGTGCCAAGACCCGCGCTCACGTGCATTATCCAGTGTCGCAATATATCTCGAAAGCGCTCGCCCTAGAATACCACCGCCGCTCTTGTGTCTATTTTGATCGTGTACTTGCTCACTCAACGTGCTGTTCAGTTTCGTGTTTCGATATTTTCCAATAATTTTGGGGCTTCATTTCACGGAATCTATTGAGGTTGCGTGAGGAAATTCTCATACCTGTCAGATTCCGTCTTCGTGCAGAATCGTAGCAACAGTGTTGTCCCACTCGTAACAACCAGTTTAAAATAGCCACCCCATAAATTAATTTTTCTTGCAGTTGATTACTTATACGTGGACATGACGTAAAAGACCAGTCGTTGCCTCACAAAGGAGAAGCTTGTTTAATCATTGTTTGGGCCGCGCCGCTGACTGCGTCATCCAAAGAGTTCATTTCGACTTTGCGGCGCGTGCGTTGGAATCGTTGCTATTGATGGTGCTCCCATGTGAAGTGAACATTACTGTTTGCGGCGCGGCGGTAGATCACCTCAGCATTTCATTCAAATAAGGGTATACGACAGCACAATCCCCGTTGACTGTTGAGAAGAAACACGCGCATATGATCCGAGTAAACGGTCATATCCCAACATTCCCGAAGGCAACGTCAATGCGGCAGTACGATTTCGTTTATTTTTTCCGAAGATGTGAAGTTTGTGCTTATGACAGCCAGATTTAGGTGAAGTCTCCTGTTGGAGAAAGCGCAATTCTGTTGAATCATTTACGTTATTCACAGATGCAGGCGTAACTTGCACGGTAAAGCGTAATGTACTTGGTGAATTGGAACGACGTACCCCTCTAGGATTGGCAGTATTTATAAATAAATAGATAAATAAATAGTTAAACGTTCACGGTAAAACGCAATGTATTTGGTGAAATGGAAACATTCTAATTTCATTTGTGATACTTCGGCACACATGCGTTCTCGTACAAGAGTCTATGCCTAGTTTTAAACACGTTAGCACGAGTTAACATATTTTTTTTATAGCACCCATTTCTTGGGGCACGCAATTAAAACAACAATTATCACAGTAAATATTTCATTCGGACGCGAGTCTGCCCATTCTAAGCTAAATAATGAAAACTTTTTGCAGCCTCGATAATTTTCACAACTTATGAAACCTTTCACTTTGTATCTTGAGAGATTTGCGTCGTGCAATTGAGGAGTAACCACGACGTATCGCTAAAATTTGGGTACGCGACGAGCGCAGAAAAAGGAGACAAGCGGTGGAGGAGTGCCCTAGCCGTGACGTCACATCGGCGCGACCGCAGCGACGCCAGTGTTCGTTCTCGGAGCTAATAAGAGTACTTGCGTACTTGCCTTGCGGTAAATGGGCCGTGCTAAAGATTTCGTCATGTGGCGCGCATTTTCCCCCTTTCTGTATCAGTGTCACATCGCGTATAGTGAGATCGTAATTCTAAACATAATGAGTGAATTTCGCGGCGCATCGGCGGCTTCACTTTCCTCTTAGTCATGCACTACCCTCGCTGGAATAGACGTTGGGTAAGTAAACTTTCAAACCACGATGAGTACTTTTGTGCGCCTCACTCAATGCTCAGCCATTGCAACTACAACTTTCCCTAACCCGGTCACCCTCACCTGGCGAATGGGGCGCCTGCCTGACTTCCGCACTATGGCCAAATGTCTGTAGTGAATAATACGGAACGTACCGTTCTGTCCGATTCTCACAGTTCAAGCACAACAAAGCTACTCATCAGCAGAAAAAATACATTGCTAGACGCGAGGGGAACCACACAGCAGGCTTGCCGGGCACCTAGGCGAAAATCCGATCGCGCCAAGAACGCACACTTCTCGTCTTCCTGGTGGTGGCCGCATTGTCTGTATACCTCCGATCTCGAACGTACCGTAAAAATTTCTTGGAATACCCCAATTATGCTGAGTGATCTGTACTGACTACCTTCAACCACCAGAGTGGCCGTTACGGTGTCCCTGCCGACATCGTTGCTGGCGGAGCACACGTAATTCCCGACGTCCTCGGCTGCCTCTTTTTCGGTAGTCAGGGTCACTATGCTGCCCGTCAAGGAAGCGCCGTACTTGTTCCTCGTGTGCGCAACGGATCCGCCGTCGTAAGTCTACCGTTTGCCAAACAGTGGCGCTCCTCGCGTCACGGCGCAGGTGAGGAATATCGTCTCTCCCAGTCGAATGTTGTCGGCTAAAGAGATGGGCATGATCGTCGGCGGTACTGCGTAAACAAGTGGTATTTATCAAATAGAGACTACAGCGCCAGGCTTGAGCGAAAAGGATTGAACGAAGCGTGGGAATCTGGCGAAATGTCTTGCATTTGCTTGCGTAAGCACCCGCCAAACACAGAGCACAGGCGATTACTGGAAGTCGACAAAGGCACCGGAGTCCGCGTTCGAAAGTCATTACAAAGAGAGGCGCAGTTTACTAATCTTGCGAAAACGAAGCCATCGACCTCTCACGTCGATGTGAATGAAAACGCTGAGAAACTGGCAGGAAAGCTTTCGTTTATTCACGAGAAAGAGTTCGTTGCCACAGCACAGACAATAGTGCCACTAAGTGGAGAGTTCGCAAGACTTTAATAAACTACTCGCCGTAAAGCGAGCATGATTGCTCTTCAGCGGTTGTCGGTGACGTAAGCAGTACGCTTTCATTAGAGTCACTGTGTATGCTACCTCTAGGTAGCAGAGATGCGCATTTGTTTTGCAACGCCGCTTTTGCAACGATGCACTGCGGAGAAGTTGGTGCACAAGCCGCACCGCCGTAAGCGGTGGCCGTTCACCTGGAATCTATCGAATGGCGGTCATACGCCCTGCCCATTGTTGGCTACGAACTGGTGCTTTTATTTGCTTCAAGTTCATGTTCTTAGGCTTCGGCAGCCATATTCCCTGGACTCCGCATTATTAAAAAAAAAAAGACCTACTGAAATAGTTAATGCTCTACACTTAACGGAGTACTTTTTGAATCCTGGAGGACCCATATTTTGTGTTTGTCACTTGCTGCTTATCTTCCACAGCTGGTGCCACTTGACCATGTGGCAGCGGCGGTGCATGTTATTGGCACTACGCTACACCTTTGCGCGTTGCGTCACCGGGCAGGCTGAAAAATGTCTATAAACTCCCGTGGCACAGTTCAGAAAGCAAATGTTGCCAGGCTCGTCGAATGACGATCGGTGACGCGCTTTGTCTATCGGCGAGGCGTTTAAGCAGGTCGCCTGCAAAAACAGAGCGCGGCTTCGTGGCGTAACGTGGTTGCTAACCAGACAAGATAGCGGAACTATGCGCAACTCTGCTCCCGTGCGGAGCACATACAGCAACTCTTACTTTCATTAGTTACTGTAATTGTCCAGGAGGAGAAATGAGAGCACATTCGGTAACTCAATCTTATTAATGTAACTCGGAAGAAAATATCTTCTAGGTACTGCATTATTTGGCGTGGAAAGCGACGGTGACTAACGCCGTAACTCCACCGTTCTCCCTGTGATGACCAATGATGAGTACCACACTCAATTGTCTCTCTCTCATTTCTTGTGCGCAGGTTACTAGTTCTGCTTTTTTCTAGCTTCTTTTTCAGCTTGTTTGTTCTTTTGATTGATTGATTGATTGATTGATTGATTGACTGATTGATATGTAGGGTTTAACGTCCCAAAACCACCATATAAGTATGAGAGATGCCGTAAAGGAGGGCTCCGCAAATTTCGATCCCCTGGGGTTCTTTAACGTGCACCCAAAACTGAGCACATGGGCCTACAGCATTTCCGCCCCCATCGGAAATGCAGCCGCCGCGGCCGGGATTCGATCCCGCGACCTGCGGGTCAGCAGCCGAGTAGCTTAGCCACTAGACCAACGCGGTGGGGCTTGTTTGTTCTTTTGAATAACTTGACTTGGGTGCGGATTTCGTAACGGTACCATCTGAAGCCACTATCCGCATCACCGTCGCCAGTTATGCTCATCACGCATGAGGCACGGCAGAGCAATCTCACCGATGCTGATTAGAACTTGCAAGTTTTTGCTTCGTGCTTGTTAAAGAGAGAAGGCTACACAACAAATCGGCCACTTCAGTAGACATGGGTTGTTATATCTCAATCCACCCGCGCTGTCCATGCGAGAACTTCAAGCGTTTCTACGCTACATTACGTTCGATCATTGGTTCACCAGATATACAAACATTTCGCTCGTGTTCTCACCTTCGATACGGAGGGCGGCCGTATAGCTGGCGCTCCCGGCGGCGTTCAACACCGTGCACGTGTAGTTGCCGACGTCCTCGGCGGCGGTGGCTTCAACAGTCAGGACGGCCACGTTTTCCGTCACAACCCTGACGTGCCTCCTGGGGCTGTCGTCGATTCGGCCCGAGTCGTGCGTCCACACGAAATCGAAGGGACCCACGCCGCTCGAGACGACGCATGTGACTGTGCTCTTCTGTCCGAGCACGGCGTTCTCCGGGAATGAGAACGGCATGATTAGGGGCCCTTCTGAAGGGAAATGTGCATCGTTGTGTGAGTGTGGTCGAAAGGCCACGATCAATTTACTTCCAGCTGCACTCCGAAACGGCCTTACCGGCGCTTTTGCAGGATACGAGGTATTGCGCTCCTAAAAGCAGGAGCAGTTGGCTTGCGCGGCATTCCATGTGGATGCGTGCAGTGCGGAATATTATTGGTGCGAGTGGTTGCACGGCTTTGCTCCTTTTGCTCGACTGAAGAGGAGAGTGCTGCATAAACGTCGCGACAATGGTATAAGCGAGGTAGGTGGACAACTAGCGCCACGCAGAGGCAACTGCGAGAATTATTAGTCGGAAGGTCGCAACGCCTCATTTTTATTTTTTCTCTCCATCGTTCCTGTCGGGAACGCCAGCTCGCTCCTGTAATAGAAAGTCTGATCAATGGATTGAGCTTTTGTCACGTTTAGTGGAATGCTTATATAGTGGAAAATAATTGGTGATTCGTTCACTCTGCCGAAACTTGGCATAAGTTTTGTCTGCGCTCCGTAAGGCTATCGCATGGCTGATAGATTTAGTGATGTACAGTCACACAGCTTACATAAACAGCCACAGGAATGCATACGGTGACTACTGTCATTTTTTATAACTGTATTCCGTTATAAAACTTTCTTTTTTGTTTCTTGGGTGTGTCATTCTGCACATTCTTACCTGTGCGTGTAGGGTAGGAAACCTTGCTTGCGTGTTTGTCAACTTCCCGGCGTTGTGCTTTGCTATTTTCTGTGTGACTTCTTTTGTATGGCTGTAGCTGTTACTTCTGCATGGCTAGTGTAGCGATGCAACTGCGCATCTCAAAACGATGCGTGCGGTCGTTGGTGACACCTGTAATTTCCAACGTATAGCTGACAGGTGATCGCTGTGTTCTCTCCCGTGGTCAATGATGTGTCCAGTGGAGGTGCTTCTGTATGGACCTGGTGCTAATTTTCTGCCTTCGAAACGGTCACATATTCTCAAAAAGACACCGTTACCTGCCTGCTGTAAAGGAAGAGATACTTCGAAACGAGAGCCTTCGAAGGTGGTCAAACTTTCTCGATGACTTAGTCCAACTTGCGTCGGTTGTCAAACAAGAACAGACGTGTTCGATGGCACGTTTATGTTGACTGCGTTTGTGTGTCACAGTTGAAATTAGTGCACACTGAGTATTATGGTGACTGGCGAACACATCGCGCTGTTGTGAGCCGGCAAAACCCACGCGATGCGCGCAGCAACGGGCGTGCCATGCGATGGAGGGATAATGTTGAAACTATATGGCAACAGCATAGCAGGTGTCAGCTTCAAAAGCGCAAAGGTAAACGAAATTCACATATGGCCGCATCTATGCTAAAATCAAAATGAGATAATCGTGGAAATGTAATGACAATAAATAGGTTAGTTAATCCATGGCAGTTCAAATGGTTGAAGGACGTTCCAATAAAAAACGATAATCCAATAAGGACCGAAATTAGAATAACGGGCTTGTTTGTGGCGTTTCTTCCAGCAAATGCGCGTGATGTACTATATCACTGAATTTGCTAATAAGTAGTTGAACAGAACAAACCCGTGCATTCAGATCAGTATCAAAATGTATTAGGCTTGGTAAAAACTTACTACAGACGCACACATACACAGTTAGTTCTACGATGTGTTTAGCAATTAACTCTGTACTGCTTAATAAAGACCAGTTATCAAGCGCTGAACAAGCAAATTATATATTGCCCCATCTCTAAATATATTTCCAATATATCTTGCGGTGTCATGTTTTATACAGTTGAGCGAACCTCGAAAGTGCATGGCGCAGAAAGAAGGTGTTTTCCAGAGATCATTCTTTGAAAATGCTTTACGCAAAACCAAAATAACCGCTATGTTTTTTTTTTTTTCAAGGAAATATGCGACGGTCACCAGAACACACTTTAACGCGAGATGCGGTGCTAACGTGATATTAATGAGAGCCCAAAATACGTTTTCCGCATATTCAGCCCCTCCCCTCTCCCCTGCAGTGTAAGTTTCATCAACGCCTCCTCTAGAAAGATGCCGGTGACCTGAGCCGAAAAGCTGGTTCCTGGCCCTCTCCTGTTTTCTCCTCCTCCGCTGCCCCAACAGTGTCGGCGTTGAGCGCTCGCTGTGGCGGCAGCTTTAAACCTTGAAGTCTCTGAAATTAATGCAATGTGTGCTGCCGTCTCGGAGGCAACAGTGTCATACCTTAGTGTTGGCGTCACTTCCGAATCTAGCCGAAGTACTAGTGTCGGCTGCGAGCGTTCCTCGCGGAAAAAGCATTGAACCACGAGGAATCGCCCGTCCCCATAGGAGAGCGTGTGATGTCGCAGGCATCTTTCTAGAGGAGGCGCTGGTTTCATCTGTGGGAAACGCGCCTTGAGTGACAAAGCCGACGGTCAGGACTAAATTTCACGGAGAATGGCACAGTGTGCTCAAATTACATCGAGCAAACGTGCGACGCTCAGTTCGTGTACAAAACATTGACCTTCCCAACGCCGTCGTCAAATGTATAGTAAAACGAGCCAAGTAGAAGCATAGCGCTTCTTGTAAAAAAAATACAGTGACTAGAGAGCACGAGGATGGCCGCTATTTCAATTAGTTGCGGTGGTAACACTTGCCTATAGTACAGAGCAATCCAAAGCTATTAAACACAGCACATTATTCACCTAATTTGTGTAGGTGACTGGACTCCAATGCGCTCTATTCACAGCTGTTTTTGGTGGTTTCGTGACTTCCCTACTTGTCACAGGCAGTTCTGGTGTGACGTAACCGAGTTGGCGCAATCAGTTGCGATTTCGCCCGTGAAATTCGATTATGAATATCTGGATCTACGTGGAATTACTGTGATTTTAAAAAAAAATGCGTAGTTTCGCGTCAGCGTGATAGCGTTTAGCGTTATATGGTTTAGCGTTCCCCAGATAGCGGGGGTGTTGAGAGAATACTCAGAATAGCCTTACCGTGTTGCAAATGTTCGTGTGGCACGGTAACATTGTTCCCTTAACCCAAGCTGTATACTACGCTGAATGAGTTAAACAATTGAAAATACAATAAAAAACTGACAGCTCTCGCCTGTATTCGCGCATGCAGCAATATTAATATACCTCGTTTCATACATCAGGTGCAGCGCTGTGCAAGAAGTTCGACCAGCAAAGCGTACAACTACGCGCGTTTCGTGGTCGCTCGTGTGGCATCAGATTAGTGCTGGTGCACCCTGGCGTTTCTTTGTGCTCCCTTTTGGCGCGCCTGGCAAACAGAAGAAAGTGGGGTGAGTACAAAAGGACGCGGCACCGAACTACCCTGCGGTGTCTTGTCCTGCACTGACAGTGAAAGTCCAGGTGACCGCCATTGTGACGTACCCACAGTAAAGATGAGGTCATGGGAAAACTAAGCCATACAGCCACATAATATCAGGCGTTCAAGGTCGCTTTCGTTTGTAAGGCACATAATATATTCAGTTACTTCGCGCCGTAATAACGAAAGAAAAAATTTAATTATTGGTGGTGAGAACATCGAACTACTTTTCGTCGCGAACGCATCGACTGCAAGAAGACTCGCTAGCTTCCGCAACGTTGCACATGGATTGTGAAACAGAGTATACTTGTTTTAGTAATAATAAAAATAAGTAAAAATATATGACGCATTAAAAGCGAAACCTTTGTGTTGCAGGTTTCTTTACACCGATCTTCTAGTTAGGCCCAGTGAAGTTCAAAATGGGAAGCGATCTGTAGAACTGCGTTAAGTTATCTGCAATACTCGGCCGCCGAAGCTATGTGTACATGACGAAAAACAGAGCCATTTGACATTCGAAAATTAATTATACAGTGGAGGCACCAAGAGACGACCACTGAGCTTTCAGCTATATTGTTACGTGCGACGTACATTAAGTGCAATAGATAATAACTTAATCACATCTAAAGGGATGAAAATTTCTATGTGCCAGCCATCCTTCTTCACTTGGGTGAGCAATAACAAATATTAATTGTTGTATATATATATATATATATATATATATATATATATATATATATATATATATATATTGTTAAGGCGTTTATTAGCCGGCAACGAGCGAGAATATGCAATGGCGACAGTCACAGCAAAGCACGGGCTCTCAGCGCGAGCGGCGTCCTTGTTGGGTAGCCCCACTAGAAGGTACGCAAGAGTTCGACCCATTTCATAGTTCGGAGGCTTCGCTACAATTACCCCGGGGTCGAAGAGGGAGCCGCCTGGCGACCTAACAGCTTGTTATTATTAGCGGGTCATAATAAGCCTTCAGGCGCTCCACGTTGACGATGTCTCGCCCACGGCGGCGCATGTCCGAAGATTGTTCAACGGGTTCGATCAGATAGTTGACGGGTGAGGTGCGCTCGATGACACGGTAGGGGCCTTCGTATTTGGGACGTAGTTTGGAAGAGGGGCCAGCGGCAGAGGTTGGGGTCGAGAGCCATACAAGCGCACCAGGAAGGAACATGGGCTCAGAAGTGGTGGAGCCATCACGGATACTCTTCTGCCGCTCTTGATCTTGCGTCGTAAAAGTCTTGGCAAGCTCGCGACACTCTTCAGCAAGCCTGGCTGTCTCGGAAATAGGTGTACACTCAGATGGATCCGGCGTGTACGGGAGTATCGTGTCCATGGTGTGCGACGGGTGCCTTCCGTACAGCAAGTAGAAAGGTGAAAAACCAGTCGTGCTCTGAGGGGCGGTGTTGTAGGCGTAGGTGACGAAGGGCAGTATATTATCCCAATTAGTGTGGTTGGCAGCGACGTACATAGAAAGCATGTCGCCGAGGGTGCGGTTAAAGCGTTCGGTGAGGCCATTCGTCTGTGGGTGGTAAGCAGTAGTTTTGCGGTGGACAGAATGGCACTCCGTCAGAATGGCTTCGACGACTTCCGACAAGAAGACACGGCCTCGATCGCTGAGAAGCTCTTGGGGTGGTCCGTGGCGCAGTATAAATCGATGCAGCAGGAAGGACGCAACATCGCGCGCAGCAGCCGCAGGGAGAGCGG